CCCTCTAGTCCTATCATGAGTCACATGAGAGAAGAAGCTGACCCCCAGCTCACTACAACCTCCCTTTAGGTAGTTATAGAGAGCAATAAGGTCTCCCCTGAGCCTCCTTTTCTCCAGTCGTTCCTCAGTTTTGCACTTCTTGGACTTCCTTTGGACGTTTAGTCACCAGAGACGTGTGTAAGCCTGGAATGGTGCACGAAGAGAACTGCTGGAAATGCCATGTGTAGTCATTAAGTAATTGTAACTGGTATGGATAAAGAGAACTACTGTAAGGAAGAGAGGGTAATAGCTGAGGAAAATAAGAATAGATGCATCCCATAGTGTGCACATCACAAACAAGGATAACAAAAGGGCATGAACAAAGAGCAGATTGTGTTTCTAGGATGGGATAACCATCTGTGTTTTTCTTTGAAAGTTTTCCCTTAAGTCTTTTGTCCTGACCTTTAGGAAGCCTGTTTACAGCAGGTTCCCACTTTCCAGAAGTGTGCTGTGTTGTGGACAACCTGAGCAGTGGCTGCTAGTGCAGGCTGAGTGAGTGCTATGTGAATGGGGCTCAGCACTGCCTGCAGTCAGCCTGGAAAGTGCAGCAGCTGCTCTGGTGTGGTGCGTGTGGAGTTGGGAAGCCCTGTGGGACCGGGTGTGATGCCACGGGAGGCAGGGAGCTGCAGGCAGGTTATTAACTCAGGCTCTGTTCTGCTAAACCCAGAAACTAACCCACTCAAACGCCAAAAATCAACATTTGAGCTGTTGCTTCTGTTTCAGAGGTTGAACTCTGGCAGGGCTTTTCGAAGATGTCTCTTTCTGAAGAGCTTGTTCAGACATTGACATTTTCTGAGGGACAGTTCTGTAGCAGTAATTATGTTAACAGCACCATTCTTCATTCTGGTAATAGATTTTATGCTTTACATTCCATATTCTATATGTCCTTCTGTTGTGTCTTGAGTTAAGCGGTGTCCTTAGCAGTAATTACAACTGATTCAAACCTACTGCTTAAGGTGCAGTGCATGCAAAATAGCATATGGCTCTGAATCCTGCGAAGATGATTGAAAACTGTGAGTTTTTGTTGTCTTGAAGCAAAAAGAACTGAATGAGCTGATGCTGGAAAATGTTTAACATTTCCATTCAAACTCTAATACTAATTGCCTTTGAGAAATCACACGAAGGCAGTGAGAGACTGAGACTTGGGGAAGTACAGCAGAACACATGCATTATGCCTTTGAGGGCTGACTGGTGCTCCTTGGCATGCCCTTTGGTACTGAGAATCATAGAATCACAAGGTTGGAAAAGAACCTACAAGGTCATCTAGTGCAACCATTCTCCCATTACTATTGCTCTCACGAGCACTAAACCGTATTTTGTAGCTCCTCATCCAGATGCCTCTTGAACACTGCCAAGGATGGCGACTCCACCACCTCCCTGGGCAGCCATTCCAGTGCCTGACCACAATCTGAGAGAAAAAAATTTCTTCCTTAATGCCCGACCTAAATCTCCTCTGGTACAACTTGCAGCCATTTCCTCAGGTCCCATTTGTTGAGGTGGTTGCAGCTCCCCGGGTGCACTGATGGCAGGCTGATTGTATCCTCAACAATCTGGGACACCAGAATATCTCTGATTTCTGTTTCTGGATAACTAAGAGCAATCCTGTGTTCTTTGCAGGTCCTGCCTGCTCTGTTCTTACAAACAACATAGTTATAAATATGAATATGTTCTGATTTCTTCCTAACAGTAGGATAGAAGAGACAGCAGTGGAGTTATCTGTAGTGTCTCAGCTCTTGCTTTAATAAGCTCTGGGGTGAGACAAGACAGAAGCAAACCCAAAAGATAAGATGAGTTTCAGAAATAAATAATTGCGTGTAATCTGAGACCCCTCAATGTTTACATGCTTACTTACGAAGATTAGTGTATAATTTGTCTAAGTAGGAACTACAATGTTAATAAGTGACAGCATGAATTTTACTGACATTAACAACAAATGCATTTCACCGATCTCACTGTCTTCAGTACAGCTGTATAGAGCTGGACTTACAGTGCTCGTTTTTGTTGCAATTAGAGTACTCCAGCATTTTCTTGGAGTTCAGCTCATCTCCACTTTAACACCGTTTTTGTCAGTGACAAAACAAAACCTTTGGTGTAGCACTTGATACTTTAATTGCTAGAAGCGAGAAAAAACTATATAAGAAGTTGAGGAAATGCATTAATGGGTTCTTTACGAGAGCTCAAGGCAACAGCAGTCTTAGTGAGACAGCTGACCAAACATTTAGGCATAAACATATGGTGATGTATGAAATTCTTGTAAATGTTGACAACACACACGTGCTCACATGGGTGGGTGTCTCTGCCCCTCCCTAGAAATCTGCATGGTGGGATAGCTTGTCCATATAGTGTAGCTGTTACCATAGGTGATATTCTTTTTTTTCCAGATGGAATTTGTTAGATTGCACAGCTTTCCTCCGAGCTCCATTTATTAGTGTGTAGATGGTAAATAAAAATTCAGGTTGATTTCATTATTTTTAAAGTAGTGTATTTCAGCTTTTCCACAGAAACTGACAGAAGAATGGAAGCACTTTTATTCCAGCATTTGGTACTTCTGCCAGTAAGCAACCATGTCAAGAATTCCATAGCTGAATCTAAAAAAATTGCTATACATTTGAGTGTTATGTAGTAGATGCTGAAGTTTGTAGGGATTCAAAGGCATTTTCTAGCTCATGGGATGTGGGCACAATTACCTTGTAGTTCTTCATGAAGCAAACATACACACATACATACATACATACAGTTCTGTATTTTCTTTCCTTTGATATTTTCCATAGTTTTATGTCTCATCTCATTTGTGGCTGGCTGTTTTATGTAGTATAAGTGCTGCTTGTCCTTCAGTAGGTGTCAATGCTTCTTCCTAAAGATCCAGTTGAAATTCAAATAGCATCAATAGTACTTCATCAGAAACTGGACACATCCAGGATGATTGAGACATCTCCTTTGCTAGGAGCAGGATATTTTAGTATGCACTTTCCTTTAGTATGCTCCTGTGTAAGAGCAATAGGCAAAAAACTTTCTGATTCATGGAATATTTTCTTTCACTCTAAATGGAAAGAGAATGTCATGATATCAAGCTTCCAAGCTCTATTAAAATTTTGGTGTTATTAATAGTAAAAATTTTGCTTTGAAACTGTAACGTATATAAAAAAATCAGTACATTACAGCAGGTCTTCATATTTGCAAAATTGGAATAACCCCATCAAATATTCTATTCTGTTATAATAGCCTTCTATCCCTACTAAAAACTCCTGTATATATTTTTGACAGGCTTTGTTGATAAGGGATGTCATTAAACATGTAAATTTAAACATTTCTAATGTAGCAGAATTTCTTCTAATTCTTCTGTATACATCCTACTCCTTTCTGCAGTATCCTTTGCCGAGGACTTATAGGTGAATGTGGTTATTTATCTGTTTTACACTTGCAGTTTAGCAAACCTGCAGCACGTCTAAAGTGTTTGTTATTTACCTTGCCTTTAGCTGCTTGTCAGTATTTATAAAAATAATATTATTTCAATGTTTACAGAACCCAAAATGTTTTTTATGAATGTGTTAGTAGGGCATATCATCTGTGATTTAATTACAAGAAAATATTTTCCTATGTACTTTTTTTCTCATATAGCTAGCCCATCCCAATTTTTTTTTTTTAATATAGAAGTTTGAGGTTTTTACACTTCTGATGATTAACATTTTGGTACTTAATAATTGGGGAATGAATGAACTGTGTTTTAACTGTGAAATGAACAGAACCTATTACAAAACCAAGGCTGAAGGCCAAGTGCTCCCAGCCTCTAGAGACAGTGCAGTTTTAGATTAGCAACATATATCGTGTTGTTCTTACAGCATTTATGGAATGGTTCCAAGTCTTTCAGAAATGATCAGGCACCTTTTAAATACTGCTTGAGTTCCAGCAACTCAGTCGCTCATTTGTGCTTACCCAGTTGTTGCCTCTGAGCTTCAAAACAATAACTTGTTACCTACTTTCTTGACAACCTATTGTCATTTTGCAGTAAATCAAATGAATCAGACTGCTGGTTAGTCTTAAAAATCAAGGAGGGTCTCCTACTCTGTTTGTATCTCTTACTTTGCATATAGACTCACCAGTTACCAGTAAGAAACGATAGATCGATATCACTGAAAGGAGTTTAAAAAAAAGGTTAGATGTTAGGAAAAATTCTTTATTCAGAGGGTGATGAGGCACTGGGACTACTTGCCTGGCCTGGATGGGGCCCTGAGCAGCCTGATTGTGGGTGACAACCCTGCCCATGGAAGGGGACTGGAAGGGACCATAAATATCACCCAGTTCCATTCTGTGCTTCTATGATTCTAGAAAAGACCTGATTTTATGATAAATAGACATTTCTGAGAGTCTGAAACACTAAACATACTGCCTTTGTAATTTATCTAACACTAATTTCACACATGTTAAAGTATAAAAGATAGAAATGTTTTCTGCAGATGTGATCCAGTGCTTTAAAGATGGGCTAGCAAATCTCTGCTGGAGCTTTGCATTCCAGTGGTGCATACAGCTCTGTGAGAGGTGTTGGCCTGCTGCTATCCTGACTGCTATCATATGCAGGGTCTGTTTTGTGTGCTGGGGTTTAAGGAAGTGCCAGTTGATGGATCAGTTGAGGCAGCAGTGTAAAAAGAAATTTTTCTGGGATTTGTTTGCTTTGCTTCCTTAGTGAAAAGAATAAAACTTTTAAAATGCTATTGGAAAACAGCTGTTCTGGACAAGAATTTCTGTTCTAAAGTAGAATAGTGTTCATGACTGTAGCAGTTTGTAATGACTTCAGGGTTTGCATACATGGTAATTTTCTCAACTCTTATCACTTTGTTTAGACTGCACTTCTCTGAATGGTAGCATGTGCATGTTAAGGAAAATAAAAGTACTCAAGTGACAAATTCGCTGTGATTGCAAGTTATCATTAATGTAATCATTAATATAAACTGTATCTGTTCCAGCTTCTTCAATTCTGAAGAGAGAGAAGCGGAAGAGAACAAAAAATGTCCATTTTAACTGTGTCACTGTGTATTACTTCACGAGAAGGCAAGGCTTCACCAGTGTTCCCAGCCAAGGGGGAAGCACGCTGGGAATGTCCACTCGCCACAACAGCGTGCGCCAGTACACGCTTGGAGAGTTTGCAATGGAGCAGGAGAGGCTTCACCGGGAGATGCTGCGAGAGCACCTGAGAGAAGAAAAACTCAATTCTCTAAAATTAAAGGTAAAACTCATTAACTTTGAGCCTTGCCTTATGTATTCTCATGAGCAGAGTCAGAGTTGTATGTGTGCATCTTTTAAACAAAACTACTTTCAACTCTAGTTTCAGTGAGAGCAATTGCATTCTTTATTTTTCTGAAGATACATATTTTTTGATATTATGAAGCACTGATGTAGCTCTTGCTAATGTGTACCTTAAAGTGTTTTACAGGGATGCGGTTGTTTGCTTGTTTTTTTACAGAGAAGATGACAAAGGCAGAGAGACACTGGAACTGTGTCTGAAATTAGACTCTGGAACTGCCTCTGAGCCCTGGCAGAGTGCCCTATTTAGACAAAGGAATGATAACATTTTAGTAGAGAAAGCTAAAACACCTTATTTTCTTTGCCAGTTTGACTATATTTGGCAAAAAGTAGGGAACAGCAGTACAGAAAATGTTTTTAGTGTACCAATTTATGCAGTCATTCATCTTTAGTATTTCACCAAAAGTTGTCTGTTAAGGAATAAAAACCAGACAAATTAACTTGCCTTATCAGTTCAGCTCAATGGTAGTTTTGCAGCTGTCCTTTTAATTTAGCAGAGTAGAGGAAGGAAACTGTATTTGAGAAGAGACGGGGATTCCATTTTTTGAAGCATCCATTCTGCGTCTTTCAATTTGCTAGCAAAATCTCAGGTTTTGTTATTTTGTTTAGTGAATGAAAAACTTCCGGTATGATGGCATATGTTATCTGTATTTTGGGTTTGTTTTCAGAAAGTAAACAAAGTTGAACTGTGGCTGAACTGCTGGGCTCCACAGCTCCTATTTCTTGTGCTTTGTCAGAGAGTACTGTGTAGGTGCAAAGCAAAATAACACTGCAAATCTCTTTGCCTTTTTCCACTAGAATGAACGGTGTTTGTAACCTGTCTGTCTGAATACCTGAAGCAGTGCATATGACCTTTACTGCTATAATTATTTTTCATTCTCTCCTATTTTTTTAATTTGAATAGAAAAATGGATTCTTATATAATTGATAACAATTGAATGTTTTTATGAACAAAGCCCCACAAACATAAAACCACGCAGTAGAGAGGCAAATAAAAGACAGACATTTTGACAGGCTGGAAGTAAAAGGCTGGAGTTAATGATTTATTGCTATTTAGAGATTATACCTCTAAACATCACAGGATCTTCAGAGCATCAAGTGGGAAGTGAGCTGTGACTCTGAGCAGATCCCTTGGCTGACTTCCAGAAGGAACTGTTTTGCTGTTCACTTGACTTCTAAATGAATGCAGAAAGGAAAGCCTGTAGATTTCTAAGGTGATCAGTCAGTGGTTGGGTATAAAGTACTGCACATCTGCACAGAAAAATGAAGAAAATAAACTGAAGGAAGGCAAAGTTTGTTCTGATTGGTCAGATTGATTGAAGGACTGATTAGAATGATAGTGCAAACAGAAAATAGTATTTTCTGTGGTTTGTTCTGTTCTTAAATTTCAGCTTCCCCGATTAATTTAATTTTTCCCATTGGATTAAAATATGCAAGGTAGAACACATTGTCTCTTGTACAACTTGTTTAAAGAAAGAAAAAAGAAATACAAATATTTTGGAATTGCGTCTTCGTAATGTTAGGTACTGTTCATTATTTAAGAAATCTCTGTTGATTAAAAGCAGATGATAAAGACTTTACAGTCATCTTGAAGTCACTGTAGTCATGTAAAGCAGCACTTTGGTGTAAGCACTGCTGACAGTGGCATAAACACTGTTAGCAGCAGAGTGTGAAAGTTTTAATGGCAATCTGAGCGTAAAAGCCAACTTGTCGAGATGAAAGGTAGAAGGTAGGCTTTACTTCAAATGCACTGTCATTTGCAGAAACGGTATGAGTAAACACAACAGATTAGCTAAAGTCTCTTCAGATTAAGGTATTTTAAAATGATTTGCTTGACCCCAAGTGATGTTAAAGCCCCTGAGCCTGCAGACCAATGGATAAATCAGCACAGGTTGTACTTATTTTGAAAACAAGACAAATGCAAATGTAAAAGGATGTGGGTTTCTCTCTTGTAAATAATGTTCTAGTCCTTTTTCCATCTGTCAAGTGCTAGGGAGTGTGCCTGAGAAGTATCATTGAGGAATGGTAAAATGTTAGATAGCTGCTATGAAAAATCTGCTATTTTGCAATTTTCTGTAAGCTAGGTATTCTTATGAAACCTAAATGTGATGATGGTGCATGTTTTCACGTGCATATATGCTTAATAATTTCAAAGAAAGGAAACTCTCAGTACACTAACTGCATTAGATATATATGTGACTTAACTGAATTCATGCAAGCTGGTCATGGATTTATCAATAATTGGTAAATTTGTTTTAGTATTAAGGCAGAATATTCAGTTTTCAGTTTTCCAGTTCTGTCTAGGAGCTTGCAGAAATCTTTAGCTCACTTGGTTCATGTTTCTGAACAATACAAATGGAGGCCAGTAGTGGTATGATATGAAATTATAATAGCTCAATTTTTCTATAGCGAACTGTAGGAGAAACTAAAAATATATTTTCCGTGTTGGTTTCTTTTGTGTGAAAGTATAAGAGAGAATTTCCAGCTCGGACAGGCAAAGGTATCCAGCCCAAATTTGTCACCTATTACGAAGTTGAAGGAATTTTCATGCAAACTCTTCATGTGTTCATCAGCCCATAGCCTGTTGTTATGAATTAACCTTTAGCTTTATGAGGAAAATGGTATCCATCTGCATATCAAGTTTAATTCGGATGTGTTATGACAACAAGAAAACATAATGCTGTCCTGAGGTTTTGAATCGAAAAATCTATTTTGTGGTTCTTAATAATCTTCCATCTGTAGTTAACCAATTAATTGTTTGAGAAATGTTCAAAGCTTTCAGTTTCATTAATTCATTTGTTCCTTGCGTCACAAAATGGAGTAAAAAAATCAGAGAATACAAGGGAGTCATCCAGCAAGGGAGTGAAAAGGAGCTGAGATGCTTTGAAATTACAATTTGCTGTTTAATCTCACTTGATTTCTGCACGTGTGACTTTGCAGTCTGCAGGATGCCTACAGCACCTGACTAGATAGAATTCACTCCTTAATGCTTGATCACTACTTAGCAAAGCTGTTAAGCTTTGCAGGAAGAGGAGAAATATGCGACAGGTTGGGCATGGTTCTGTAGGTGCCTTTTGTAAGCTGAGCGGTTAAAGTATTTACCTTATCAGTAAGAGCTGATGATCACAACAAAAATAATTACCAAAGCAGGAATTAGAATTCTTCCCTAGTTTCAAATTTAAATTATGACAAACTATTAAATAATGGTGATCTGCTTAAGGACTTGTTTGAACTGTGTATATTTGAAACTGGAGAAATTAGAAGTAAGTCATTTTTCTATTAAATGCAAAAAGAAGGCCAAAGCAACATAAAACGAGGCTATTTAGTAGTATGTAGGTAACAGAAAATGAAGAATGAAAATGATTCAGGCTCCCATCTGGATGTTCAGCCTGAGTTACATGTACTGAGAGAAATTCCCCTCCACTGCCTTCAGACAGCTGAACTTTTCCTTGCATTTACTTGCCTCTCACTGTAAAGAATACAGAAAAAACCTTTAATGTTGTTTATTCATTCTACCTTGCTGAACTAATATTTTGAAGTGCCTCATGTAGGGTACCTGATCACTGTAAAACAAAGTGATTAACAGGAGATAGAGTGAGAAAACAACATAAAGGTAGTTTGAGAGGACATTTTGAACATGCCTGCATTTCAGATGAAGTAAGAGATGAATGTATATGCATGTAAAACTAGGGATAACAGACACAGTAAATAACATTAAAGGTGAATTACTAAAATGAAAGCACTAAGCTCTGAAGGCTGGACTTACAGAAAAAGAGTAAGAATATACTGCAAAGAAACAACAATGACTGTGAAGGACTGTGAAACACTCCTGCATTAAATTAATATGGTGCTGAATTGCTAAGAAGGGATGATTACTGGTCTAGAGAGAGATTCTTGTGTAACATGTACATGTTACGTACACTGTGTAAGCATTGCAGTCAGAATACTGAAGCTCCTTCCATCTGAGGGGGATGAGTATCACTTTTAACCTGACAGTACAGGTTGGAAATAGTGAGCATTTTCTTCTGTGATTTTCTTATACAGTTATTACTATAAACACAAAACTGGAGTTAGAAAAGAAGTAGGCCATCTGTAGGAGTTCAACGTAGAGTAATTCAGTTATGCTATAAAATGACAGAATCCAAAAGATTTTGTAATATAAATGGGAAATGAAAAATGCTAATGCAGTTGAGAACATAATAAAAGCAGCAGGAGTGCTAAAGGTAAGATTCAGGACTGCATTGTTAGACATAAGATGCATACATAGCTAGATGATATAATTGTTTTGTTTCCTTACGTATGGCTTTCCACATTCATAATTAATTTATAACACATATTTATAAATATATATACACGACAACTCTGTGTAACTGTTGTTTAAGCACTTTGTTAATTGTTCTATGTAACAGATGACAAAGAATGGTACAGTGGAATGTGAAGAGGCAAATACGTTGACACTGGATGACATTTCTGATGATGATATTGATCTGGACAACACTGAAGTGGATGAGTATTTCTTTCTACAACCCCTGCCAACAAAAAAGCGAAGGGCACTGCTGCGAGCTTCTGGAGTGAAGAAGATTGATGTGGAAGAAAAACATGAGCTGCGGGCCATCCGGCTGTCCAGAGAGGATTGTGGCTGTGACTGCCGCGTGTTTTGTGATCCAGAAACTTGCACTTGCAGTCTTGCAGGCATAAAGTGTCAGGTAAACGTCCACATTATTGTCATTATTTATCTTGCAAGGGAATGGGTTGTTAGGGGTGTGTGTGCATGCACTTTTTTGTTGAGGTGGTAAGTACTGAAAGATTATTAAGTAAGTGAGTGAGTTATTAAAAAGTAACACTTGTGGATTTTAAACTAGTTTAAGGCTCGGATTTAAGAGTATGTAATGTGCAATGCAATTTTTCTCCTTAAACATCTTTATTTTACGATCAGTTTAGGCATATACACTGTTCAGTATTTTTGGTTTTGTTCATACATATTTTCCTCCTCATGTTCCCCTTTGGCCTTTATCTAAACATGCAAATGGAAACAGAAGAATCAGTAGCCTGCAGATTTCACAAGGGTATGTAGCTTTTGTTTTAGAGACAATTCACATACTGTCCAAATGTGAATTATAGTCAAAACTCAATGAGAAGTAATAAGTCAAACTGCAGTACTGTCCCTTCTTTAACATGCATGATACTTAACATGCAAGCATGAAAAACTGCATGCAGGCAACAAAATATAGCAGGTAGTTTTTCTCTCTGCAGATTTTATTGCACATATAGCTGTAAATGTCCCAAAATAGGAATTCCCTAAAAGATGGTTTCTGCTAATTACCATGAGTAGCTGTTACGCAGCTGAGTTGGTTTCTTTCTAAATGGATTTTTTACATCATTTCTTAAATCCCAGCTAAATTTTCTCTGCTATTCTAAATAATACATTCCCTTTGCTGCTCCTGTTTCTCCTGTCATCTTCACATTTTGGGAAGATGTACTAGACTGATTGTTTCATATGGCTCTCTTCTGCATCACATTTGATGTTTAGGTATAGAGTAGATAAAAATTACAGACCTTAAGCTGTCTAATAGAACTACTTGATTTGTGGATTCAGTCACACTTTTATATACTTAAAATGGACACTATGAGACATGGATATTTGATATGGCTTATTCTTAAAGTACTTCTCAATTGAATCCCACTTCACTTCTATTTTTAGGCTTTCCAGGTTCTGTGATATGACCAGGTTTATGCTAAGTATTGTTAATCTGTATTCTCTTTTTCAAAAGGTGGATCGTATGTCTTTTCCATGCGGTTGCACTAAAGAAGGGTGTAGCAATACAGCAGGTAGAATTGAATTTAATCCTATCCGTGTACGGACTCACTTTTTGCACACAATAATGAAACTTGAATTGGAGAAAAATAGAGAACAGCAAATTCCATCACTAAATGGCTGCCACAGCGAGATAAGTGCACATACTAGTACTATGAGTCCAGGACCCCATCCGGTTGAATATTCAATTGCAGAAAATTTTGAGATTGAAACTGAACCTCAGGCTGCAGTTATGCATTCTCAGTCAGCCGAGGACTTGGACTGCCCTGGGGAAGAGGAGGAAGAGGAAGATGGGAGTAGCTTTTGTAGTGGAGTTACTGATTCTAGCACTCAGAGTTTAGCCCCTAGTGAATCAGATGATGATGAAGAGGAAGAGGAAGATGAGGAAGATGATGAGGAAGAAAAAGCAGATGACTTTGTAGAAAGTATGAGCTCCCATGCTGACATGGTGCCTCTTCCTTCTGTCCTTTGCTACTCTGATGGAACTGCTGTGCATGAAAACCACTCTAAAAATGCCTCATACTATACTAACTCTTCAAATCTATATTACCAAATAGAGAACCATGTTGCTGGCACTGCTAACCAGATTGGTGAGACTTACTCAGAAAGGGATGCTGTCAAGAATGGCAATCTTTCTCTGGTGCCTTACAGCATGACTTCAGAACAGTTTGTTGACTACACTCGGCAATCAGAGGAAACTTTTAGCAGCCCTCATTACCCTTCTGCAAACCCCTCAGTGATTGTTTGCTGCTCATCTTCTGAAGGTGATAGCAGTGCTCCGTGTAACAGTTTATACACTGAGCATAGGCCAAGTCACTCTCAAGTGGAATTTCACTCATTCTTGAAAGGTCCTTCTCAAGATGGATTTGTTTCAGCTTTGAATGGCGAGAGTCGTGTACAAGAGCACCCTGCTGAGAATTCACTAGTCCTCTCAGAAAAGAGTAGACTGCATGAAGAGTGCATCAAATCACCAGTGGTAGAAACAGTACCTGTTTAATATTAAAATTATTCTAAGACTGACTTCCTGTAATAAAATGCACTCAAATTGGATTTCCTAGAATCTTAATTTTTTTTTTTAAGAGGTAGACAACACTTGGGCTATAGTCAATGTTCCAGACACACTTTCAAGCTACATTGCCAGAGGCACTGCACAGAATCAGTTCATGTAAAGATTAAAAAAAGCAAACCAACATCAGACTGTCTTTTGATAAAACTAAAACACGTAAGTAAAAAACCACACCTAACATATTTCAAAGTAGCCTACCTGTCAAATACATGAAACATGCCAAGCTATCTGAATCAAAGCTTCAAGTTTTTGATTGTCGGGCCTGTGCAAGATTGTTAAAAATGATAGTTTGAAATAATCATGTTTAAAGTCCTGATTTTTAACGTACCTGAAAGAACATAACTTTAATGTAAAAGTAATTACTGTACAAAAAAGTTTTAATTGTTCTGTACTGTATGTATTTTATTTATGGTAGTTTAGTATTCATGTTTTGATAAAAATGAACAGCATGTTCATTTGAACAGAAGATCCATAGTTAGTAAGAAAGAGCATGACCAATTTTCATCTGGAATACCGTGTATTTTTTAAATACCATTTCTGATAAATTAACTTAAAATGCATTTCTAGAGTACTATTTATTTTCTCTTTCTGTTTACTGTTCTTGACCAACAGAAGAGTCAGAAAGGGGGGCATGTACATCTTATAGAAAGGTAAGAGGTAGACAATCCTCCATCAAAATTAGTGGTATTTCTAGAACTAGCACCCCTTCCCAAAGAAAAAACGATCTTGTATATAATGGCGAAGCAGTAACTTCAGCTTGCACAGCACCTTTTAGCCCAGCAAACATTCAGATACTTACTTATGCACTTTAGTGCCATTTTGCAGTGATGTTTCAACTGCAGAAACTGTGAACTATTTTGGAGAAATGCCATAACTCCAGATTCCGAGGTATATGTAAGATCTTAAAGTCCGTTGCAACAAAACTTGGATGTTTTCCTAAGCCAGTATATGAATAAGTCAGTAAATACTTAAAAAAAAAAAAACAAAAAAACCCAAAACCCTACAGCAACAAAAAACAACTAACAAGCAGAAGTCCTGTTGATCACAGTTTAAATGAAGCATGGAAAGTAATGTGGAAGGGTCTAGATTTTCCTAAATATTTAGCAGTTTTTAAATACAAAGGTTTTTGTGGACTGTCACTTGAATTACTTGATCTAAATAAGGATCAGTATAGTCAATGACAAAACGTAGCTACAGAGATTTTACATTGCTAAAGTCTGCAAGCAGAATAGCACATACACCATATGGATATCCATTACTTTGTACTCCATTTATTCTAAAAATAAGTGGAAATTAAAATGCCTGCTTTACTTTATGAACAGACATATTGCTTTCTTCAAGAAAAGGAAGTGTACTAGAGCCTGCTTTTTCTCTATTAATTCTCTATTGACTTTGATTTCAGAAGCTATTTTAATTTTGTTCTAATAATGAAATATCATACATCAAGTATAACTGCAGTAAAGACCTGTTTTTGTTTGCCCAAAATAAGGATCAGCATCTTATTTTCATCTGTCAAATCCCAGTGGTTAGCTGTATGCATGTAAACAGAGTATAAACTTCAGCTCTGTGACAGTGACTTTTCTGGTTAGAAGCTCTTTACAACATCACATAAACTGCTTCAGTAGAATAATTTCCAGATTTAAAACGTGCTTTTAAAAAAATAATTATTTTAGTGAGATCTGGGCATCTCATTTACTGAGATCAGCATTTTCTATGCTAAATTAGCAAAATATTTTTACTCCACGTAGTCACTGGAAAGGTTTTTTATTTATTTGTTTCCACAAGTCCTACACAGATTGCATCAGAAAGTCCTAATTCTCCTGGGCCTGGATATTCCATATTTACAGCATACTCCATGTTCTGGGAAAATGCAGTCATGTTGATTCAACTGCCTCAGCAGTTCCTTAGGCCCTGCTGCTCTTAGTCACTCTGATCTCTTTCTGTACAGGCTGAGCAGCCAGGTAAATGCGTGTGTTCTCCACTTCCAAATAGCAAATACCCATCTTTACAGAGAAAACCTTAGTTCATAAAAGGTTCTGCATAAAAAAATAAGAGTAGTGTTACTCTGTCCAGATATTGTACAGCAAATGTTACAAGTCTCCATACACAGGGATCTTTCATGAACAGCAGGCTTAAATTAGGCAGTCTTGCAACACCAGCATCAAAAGCACAAATCCCTTCCTGAGCTGGGAGAACAATTGTGAATCAGTAGCAGCATTTTAAGTTCAGAGTGTGTTGGCTTCTGGAGCATCATGCACACTTTACCAGGGTATTACTCAGGGGGAAAGTTAAATTAAATATTTTTGTTTCATTATTCGCCCCCTTACTGAGCAATAAGAGATTATTTTCTTGGCCCCACACTTCCAAATGAAAAATACCTTTAATAACATTAGCAAGCACAGTAAGCGATTAACTTTATAAAAGTTCACTTTAAAATACTGAGACAATAGTTACTTTGTATTTCTCTTGGCACTGGTGTCAGAGCCCAGGCCTCCTCTGTAAATTTCTGAGTACTTAAATATATATACCATACACTTGATGTGTATGCTGTGGGGGAATGGGGTGAATACAGCTAAATTCTCAATAGTGTACAGCACAGGGTAACAAGGAGCTTAAAGACAGCATGCAAGCAGTAGTGAGTATGCCAAGGAATGTTTGCTACAGTATTTGCCCTTGCTTAAAAGTAGCTAATTCCACAGCCCTGCCCAGAACAGATACTCCAGTTTATAACTCCTGAGTTAGCTGTAGAAATCAGCTTGGAATCAAGATTCCTACTCCTTGATCACTTTTTCATATTTTGCTTAGAAGACCAAAGAAATCTTCATAGAAGCAAAAATTGACTTAAATCATAAGCTGAAGAGTGTTTCAGTCTTATATTCTGGGCTAACATATACATATGATGCATCCCATTTCCCAGTTAGTTAGTACTGCTAAACAGTCATATCATTTGGGGCAAACCTATTTCTATGTGCTAAAAGTATTATATTATTAAATTATAAATGGCAGTATTTGCTTCTGTATAGACATGGCTTATCATTTTTGGAAATGTTTACTTTACTGATAGCTGTATCAGCTTTTTCTCCTAACACATTTTGCTACTGATAAGCACTCGTAAGAAGCCAGATAATAAACTGGCAGATAATTTATGATTGCATTAGGTAGCTCAGAAAAATACATAATAACAAAAGCAATTCCCCTTCATTCAAACTGGATTTTCACACAGAAAATTAATAGAACAACACATAAAACTGAATGCCTTTTTGCTCCTAATGTGAACTTTGTCCCTCTTGGAAAAAAAGCATTGTTAAAGCTTATAAAGCTTATAAAGCTTTAACAGATGTTAAAGTTGGCGCTTTTCTGGCAAAAATGCAGTATCTTTTTTTCTTAAGAGCTTTAATTCAACTCATACCCATTGAAACATCCTTAAAAAAAAAATAAAAAGTTGGTCAGTAAAGCTTTCTGATTTTTTTCTGTTTTTTCCTTTTAAGTTTTTTTTTTTTATCAGCTGTATACCACCATTTCAATAGGAAAGTTTTAACTTTGTGAAGCTTTACCGTTTTACAGTTACATAAATTGTTGCTAGTGAATCCTTTGAGTTGACATTTCTGTCTTCTAAGGCCATTGATTACCATCATTTGCTGTAAATGTGGTTCAGCCCAGCTCACCTCTTTGTTATCTGATGAGTTAACAGTGTTAACAATGGTATCTTGCCTTTTTATAAGTTGTACAGAAAATGCAGATAATATTCATGATGTTGTTACTCACTGGATTGCTAATAAATCCAGAACCAGCTTCTCATCTTACCTGAGCACTGTATTTCAGTAAATGTGCTATTAAATCAACCATGTAGACATTTCCTGCCCCACAGTCAACCTAGAGGATGTCTTCACTAAAGACAAATTGTTTCTTAAAAATTGAGAGCATACATTCATATACAAAACATGGCATGTTTTTGAATATTTCAGTTGTTCATGATATTTTGATAGAAATGTGAAATACCGGACAGAGTAACAGGCTAATACAGAGGAGATCTGGGTACCTTTGGCTTTGCCTTTGTCCTGCTCTGTTACTTGGAAGTGACTCTACGACTCTGGTTTGCAAGGTACTTAGAGATGCTGTGATTAAAAACTTTCAAGACAACAGCCAGAATAACATTTTTCCTCTTTTTTTTTTGGCATCATAACTAAATTTCTGCAAACGAAGTCCACTTTTCCAATCAATTCTAGTTCAGCTCAGAAGTACAAATTTCATCATTAACATGAAACACAACAAAAGCAAGATATTCTTTTATGGACAACATTAATAAGCAAACATAGAATGATAAATTTCACAGTGAAAAATGTGAAAATTAGAAAAAAAGCTTGATTTACCTGTTGAGCAGCGAGATTTTAGTTTGCCAATGACACTAGCAACTGGCAGTCTTACTCCTCCGCTTATCTTCTTTCATTAGTTGAGTTCTGTCAGTTGAAACTCCTTGCCAGGGCTACTCCTTCAGCAAAGTAGGTACCCTCACTCTGAGCTAAAGCAAAAGAGACAGTTGGAGCCACAATACTGTTTTAAAGGCATTTGCTAAACAAGAAACTCCTGTGTTGTAACTCTTGAGTTATGTGAACTCAAGTGCTTTGTGCTAGTTAATTTTCTTGAGGCAATCAGGAAAAGGCACAGAAGAGAATGATACCAGAAATCTTCTAGTGTTTAGGGGTATTATGCTTTCCTACTGGGACTAAAGACTAGTTCTATCACCTACTTTACCATGGTCACAAACCATTTCTTGTAAAATACTTAGAAAAACTAGAATTAACTCAGAGAATATATTCTATAGAATTTATTTCTAAAATATTAAATCTGATCCCTATTTTTTTACAATAGTTGAAAGCTACTGTTATTTTCAAAGCACATGCACACGAAGAATTGAGTTCATTAACATAATCATTGGCATGACAAATCTCAACATTTTAATAGTTCTTAATTTTTAATATTTCTTTTTAAAAGTATACGTTACATACTGATTACTGAGAACAACAAAATTATGTGCTAATAATTGTCCATTTTCTCCAAGTGGCATGCAATCCAAAATACAAACCTTTTGAAGTGATAAATAAGCAGTGTTTAGTTGTAAAGATGTCCAAAGGAACACATGCTCAAGTTCTTCGTAATTGCTTCCTTTTTGCTGTCTCTTCTTCCTCCTACATCAGAGGTAGCTTTTTATTTGGTTGATAATAAATATTTCAGAGTATAGTTCTTAAGGAGAAAAGCTGTAATAACCTTGGGAACTTTCTGCCATGCTAATGGCTGATATAAAAAATTTTACTTACAATAAGAACATCTGATTCATGAAATATCTCAATGTTTTCCAGCCTTAGTCTTTTCATTTTTTTTCTTCCTTCCTTCCTGAATCTTAGTGTCTGGGAAAAAGTTTGTTTTACAGTAAGGCTTTTCATTAGAAACAACTTTATGTAAGTGCAACAGTAGTGTCCTCTGTGCTATCTGTCCTTTACCCTGCAAGAGTTGATTTTATTTTTCACTAAACATTTGCACGCAGACAAATTAGAACTGTGGTAAAAAAAAATGTCATCTCCCTCACTGGCTCTGAATAAACAGTAATCAGGAATGGACCCCATAGGGTCTCTCTATAGGCCTTCCTTTGCTGTACCCACAAACAAATGGGAAGGAAAACTACCCCTATGGGTTGCAGATGTGGAAGGGGATCCTCCTATCTCTTGATGCCTGTAGATCCAGAGGAAGAGTGTCATGTTTGATACGGCACAGCCTAGTACAAGAGAAATATCTAGATTAAAGAAAGCAGAAAAAACATCACCTAAGGAAACTACATTTGCAGTTTGTTTTTCCTAATATAAACAATAAATGAAAAGTACCCTTTTACAAAAACAGAGTTACTTTTATAGTAGGGAAAAAAAAAAAAGATGCGTACTGCTCTACTGTTGTATATTCTCTGTTAGGAGAACATCCAGTATGCAGAAGGTCTCACTGCCTGGAGAACCATGTTCACTATCCTCTGTATTTATTCTCAGTTGAGAAGATGATAATCCCTCACCCAGGTTTAGCACAACTCCATTTACTTATTAAATCACTGTCATTTTTCATTGTTACACTTCAGTTTTTTTGAGTTATTTTATGAATTTTGAGAAGAATAGAACGAGGTCAAATAAATTTGTCTTACACGTAGTTCATCTCTAACTGTGCCCATTTGCATTAAGCCATGAAGACTGGATTAGCTTTTCTTTACTGGCAGAAAAAATGGTGGAAAGTACAAATTAAACCACTGTATACAACAAGGGTCAGGATAACCCATCTGCATGGGCAGATATACCCTGGGGTGAGTGAGAAGACAGAAAGGCCAATTTAGAGGAAGAGAGGTAAGGAGGTAAGAGATATACTGATAAGGACATTTTTTTTTTTTTCTGAAGGGCAAAAGAGAACAAGATATAGGAGAAAAAAATACAGAAAATATGAAATGAAGATATCCCCAGAGCAAGGATGGGAAAGCATATGCCTGTGCACTACATGTTTGGTCATGTTAGCTCATAAAATGAATTCTGTTGCTTGAAATGTCTTAAAACCAGTATGAACTTCCTGCAAAGAAGAAATGTTGATTTGCAACAGCAGTCGTATGCGGGCAAGCATTAAAGACTCATCCAAAAGCGCAGGGTAAAAACAAGAAGTTTTTACCTTGAAGCAACGCTACCTTGTCTTTTCTTTGCATACATCAACCGCAAAGTCATTCTCAGTATCACTGAATTAACTCCCAGGCCTGTGCTCTAGTATAACATCAGTTAACAACAGACACTAAAAGCAAAAAAGAAATAGGTGTCCTTTGTATTAGCATTTTAACTTGGGGGTTTTTAATGAGATTTAGTACGTTATGGCAGCTAATTCTTCTAGACTTCTATACTTGAAACTTTTTTTAAAAGTGGTTCTTTACTTAAAAATGAAATTTAAAATTTGAATTATAGGTGAAGGTCACCCTCGCTGGGGTTCTGGGGTAAAACAGCCACCCGTTTAGGAGTTTCTGATAGGCATGCTGAGCATAAGGTTTTAGCTTCTTGAAAAGATTGCAACATTATGTGCACTGGCAGCTAGTTCTTTTAAAAAACAGAAGGCAGCATGCTATTTTTCTAAAAAAAAAACCCAAAACCAACACATTCTATTTCTAAAACAAATACCACCACATGAGCTTTAACATAATAATCCCATATAAATGATGCTTAACAACAGGGTCCTTCTTTTAATTGACTGATGTAGGCACTTCTATGGAAATATGTCTGAAGTGTAGTTTGTAAAACATGTTTTTAAAAGTGTTTGATGTAAAATAAGCGCTACACATTTAACAGCGCAAAATAGTCAAAACCTGTAGGTTACAAATTCTTTCCTGAGAGCCTCAGCCTGTAATAGTGTCTTAGTAAAGTCAATCTTTTAAGTTAAATTGCATTCTGGTGTAATAACCTTTTGCAAATAAAAATAATACAGATGTACTGGTTAATAACGAAATTGGTTAATAACATGACAGTTTATGTTATTTCGATTTTCCACCTACAGCTGGTAGTTAGAAATTTTGTAAAATATATATAAAATTACATTTTTATGTTTAAAGTGTTTTCTTTGTTTTAAAAAATATGATCTATGTCAAACCTACACTGTGTGTTCCAATGCTGGGCTTTTTGATTTCAATTTTGATTTTTTTTTAAAGATTCCTGTTTCTGTATATAAATATTTCCCATATAAATATAAAACTGCTTTGGAAATTGGAGCAAGTGGTAAATAATACACCACAGCATAGATTCGAAAGTTGATAGTCTTTCAGACATAATCCATTCCGGTGGGACTAAAAACTGTGGTGTAATTGCAGCCATTTGTTTAAAATTTGTACATTACATCCAACTTCACTAAATTTTGAGAAAAATAATTATGTTAAGTAACCAACATTTTCCATTACAGATTATCTTGCATACTAAAATTATGTTGATCTCAACAGTAAGGCAACATACAGAAATGAACTGCTACTTTTAAACTGTTTGAAGAAGCAAAGAAAATTTCATCTTAAAATCTGTACAGGGAAATAATTTAAAGCTTCATGAATTACACATTTCCTTAATTACTTTCTTCTCTTTCTTAAATAAGTTGCAACATCAAAGATGCCAAAGGGTAATATAAGCTACAATAATATTCAACAGAACTTAATCTTGACCTTATGTTGTAATAATTTATTCAAATTAACTGTATTCTTCTGTATTTATATTTTCAGTATTTATTATGAATGATATGGAATTTGATGTATTTATTGTGGCTTATTACTGCAGTGTATATATTACAAAAATGAGCATTTTTAAGTCTTAACATTAGTTCTTTCTGTTAACTAGTGGCACTTGTATTGGCTGTATTTTTATTATATATTGTACAATATATATTGTCCATTTGTTTGCAATGAAGTAAAACAGGTTTCTACGTTATATCATGGCTGCCAGTGCATTGTGCATCTTACTTCTGCTACGCAGTCACCAGACATTCCTCTCTTGCCTAGCAAAGTCAGAATTAGTACTGCACCTCCTCCCCAGGGCTGTAGAGTCTCTCTAGAAGCTCTGAAATTTCTAGCATTTCTCCCATACCTCACATTCTGATAACGTAACAAGAAACTGTTTCAACTGTGGGGGTGTGTTTTGTATCTTACTTTATTTTTTAAACTTAGCATTTAAATACTAAAGGAATCCACAGAAATGGTTTGTTTGGTATTTCTGTTTGCCCTTCTGTGACACTAATACACATTGGCGAGTGGAATAAACTACATGGTTTTTCTGCAGATACCATGATGAATTTAATCATTTGGTTAGAAGTTAATGAAAGAATAATTGTGAACAGTTGTTGGGGGAAAAAAAAAAGCAACAGCTCTCTCTGGTGGTCAATTTGGAGAAATGTTAATAGCTATAACAGAATTGTAGCCTTACTAGTAAATTGCAGGACAACTGCTTTATTATTTTGAAAATTGCTGATCAGTATTGCTTCATTATGAAAATTATTAACAATACATACAGCTCTGTGCCATCTTTCTATTCTGATACTTAAAATTGTGCTCTACGTTTGTAAAAGGTAAGTTGATGGTAAGTGCAATGACAAATTGCATACAGCTAAATTATTTGTATCCACAAAAATTGATAAAGAAAAGTTGTTCTCTATATCATAGAAAAAAAAGTTCTCACAGATTTAATGTAGCATTTGGTTTAAATTTATTAGGAGCTACATGGAAGAGAAAAGCATCTGTTACCAGGCTGCTTTTGGCATTGCCACAAACTATGGTTAACAGTGCTCCAGGGCTTGCTAAGACATACCACCATAAAAAAAACCTTGGAAAACAACTTTCCAAACCAGTATTCTAATTTAAGACATCAGGATGCCATTTCAGAAACAGGAAGGCTTAACTCTAAGGTTCAGCTGTAAACTATTCTATTAATAATACTCTCACAGTTCTATACTCACATTTACGTAGATTGGCAGGTACTCCTGAGGGTATGCTGAGCTAGTGAAGTCCCAGTGCAGGTAGTAGTGCTGTGTGCAGGCAGAGTCACAAAGAATCAGAAGTCAGCAGGGCCTCTTGGTGGGAGAGCAGGAGCTACCTTGAGCCACCCGCCCTCAAAGCACATCTAGGATCTGCTTCATCCTGCCAGGAGTAAGCCTGAGTTGTCTGTGCCTGAAATCAAGCCTTCTTCAACACCTGCAGCTCCTTTCCTATAACATAGCACAGTGAGATGGAGATTAACACTAGTTTTTCTGGTCTATTTAATAGCCTACAAAGCCAGCTGATTGATGTACAAGTTTTTACATACTGCATATGTAACAGTTTTCCCATTTTCTCTCCCCGGGGGAAGAGCAAAACAGCACTACTGAAAGTATTTTAAATTAAAGCAAAGGCAGTAAATGAGCCAGAAAACTCCCTGTGAAAAACTGATTTTCAATTTGCCATTTGTATGAGGTTTCTGAAAAAACATTCTTGTTTTTCAGAACTGCTGATATTTTGTTTGGCTCTCAGAAATGTAGTGCAGCATATTTTTAAAAAAAATCAATTTAATAGCTTAGAAGAGAATAAAGTATTATGCTTTAGATGTTTCAGTGTATACAGTGACCATGAAATTTGCAGGACAAATGAAAAGACTTGCTGAAGGAACAAAACTACATGTTTTCAAAAGGCAGTAGTGGCAGGTTACTTGTTTTAAATTTCTTGGTTAATAAAAGGACTCTGGAACAAAGAGGACCTGATAGCAATGGGAATGAAGCATGAGGGAAAGCACAACTGACATTAAGCTGTTTAAGGTATAGCAATACAGCACCCCAGACTGTATTCACTACAAATTAATCATTTCCCCATTTAAAGAGTGTTCTTCATTATGCAACAATTATTTCTTGGTTTCCAATAATAAAATGGGAGTTAGCTTGCATAAGCTTTTGTTCATATGGCTTAGTTTTATATGCACGCTACTCAAAGCGCTATGCAGGCAGAACACATTTTTATTTCCACATTTGTGTGTAGCTGGTTTGAGTGCTACAAGCTGTGAATAACCAGCATTTGTGGAATAGATCCTCCACAAGGAATACTGGAAATCACCATGCAAAAATCACATCTAGTTCTATTTCTTTAGGCATTTCCCCCCAAAATATTTGAAATAGACACTGGAACTGCACATTACCTTTTAGAAACAACACTGCTTCTTCCTTCCCTTCCTTCTTGTCAAAAGCACAGGCCAACCCTATCAGTCTTTGTATTGCTCCATTTTTTTCAAGTTCCTACTCCAAGTTGCTGTCAACAACGAAGACTGCTTCTGCTTTAACTCATACAGCTCATACCTGGCAGGCCAGCAAACCCACAGAAACCAAGTTTTGTTCCACAGCCAGCAAAAACATTGCAAGTCCACACTTTAACCACAAACCTTGAATAAGTCAATAGATTGCCTTGAGCTCTTTATTTCCAGTTACCTAGACAGGGAGGTAGTAACCATGATTCACCCTGATATTCCCTGCATAACAGTGACTTCTTTTTGACTAGAAATGGGAGGATGATTAAGAGGCAGCAGTGTCCAATTAAGAATTGGGAGGTTAAAACACATTCAGGAGAAAGAAAAAGGTAGTGGCAAACCTACATTCATTCATACTGCTTGATTCTTATCCCTCCCTATATAGTTAGAAACAGTGTCTTAGTTTCAGCTGGGATGGAATTGTTTTCCTCAGAGTGTCTGATATGATGTTGTTTTGGTTCTAAAAGAAAAACATTCTTGATAACACACCAATGTTTATAGTCACTGCTAAGCAGCATTGTATAGAGCCAGGGCAGTTCTCAGTCAAGAGCCCAAGGATCTGAGAGGGAACAGAATTAGGACAGCTGACTTAAACTGGCCAAAGGGATATTCCGTATCATATGACAAGTGGAAGAAGTGTATATATATATATGTCTATGAATATATGTGTGTGTGTATATATATGTGTGTATGTGTATATATATATATACACACACACACACACACGTGTGTGTGTAGTGTGTGTATATATGTATATCATAATTATCATCTTTTTCCTTTTTTCTATCTTAGTAAATAGTTTTATCTTAACCCACAAGTTCTGCTTTTTTCTTTTTTTTCTTTTTAATTCTCTCTCCCATCCCATGGGAAGTGGGGGGGAGTGAGCAAATGACTCCGTGGTGCTGAGCCACCTGCTGGGTTAAATCACAACAGTCTAACAACATAGTAGCAGCAGTTTGTATTGCTGCTTTTGAGTTGTGCTGAGTCACCTTACTACAGGCACAGAATTCATCTGTTTAAAGAAGGGAGACTTCAAGCTACTCTTTTTTTGACCTGATATATTTCTACCTGTTAGACTGAAAGGATCCTTTCAAAGCCCACTAAGTCCCAATGGATTTCATTTTCTCAAATTATGGGTAATCTCCCTCAATCAAGTAAGTACCCTTTGGTATCTTCCACAGTTAGTCAGCCTTATCTTCAAACAAACCAGTAGAACTGAAGTTTAAATAGAATATCAAATATCTGGGAACATAACACTTTAGGGCAGCATATTTGTTCTGAGGTCAATATCCCTAGGAAATTCTCCACTCTTAGAAAAGAAGCTTCCCTCATGCACACTGACACAATGCAGCATGAGAAATACAACAAGGAGAAAGCACAGAACATTTTCAAAAGCAACCAGCCATTTTAAGTATGATCTAATGAAGTGCAATAATGATTTTTAAATGAAGTGTCTGAAGAATAGATAAAATACATATCTAAAAAGGTGAGTTCTGTTGTGTAAGTAATAAAGTGACATTGATGTGTCACATCAGCCATCTTCTAGTTTGATCACGATACTAAATGCAGATACACGTATTTCATGTAAGTATACATACAGATCAAATTAAAGTTTTAATTGATGGCCCACAAAAAATTGTTTTTGGTACTGCCCTACGCTGTAACACAACTGTGCAAAAAAAAAAAAAAAAAAATCTGCCATGCAAACCGTGGATTAAAAATGAGAGAAGACAAAGGAAACTACATTAGGAATAGAAAAAAAAAAAAAAAGCCCAAGAAAAATGAGAATACCAAGTGAACAAGGGTACTGTCTGAAGTGTCTAGTTTTGGGAGTAATTTTTTGCAGTCACTGGCTTTAAGAATAAAGACCACTTTAGAAACATGTATCTTACTCATTAAACAACAGCTATTGCTTACCTATAGACATTTTTGTTCCTGAAACTCCTCTATCCTATGCAACAAATAGAGTTGAGAAAATACATTCCTACATTTTATTTTGCAGACAGCTGAATTGCCACCTCCTAGCTTTCTGTAGTTTGAATATAGCATTGACCTGATTCTAAACAACATTTAAATGCAATTTTCTGTCACAACACAAATCAACCAATACCTCCATCGTGTAAAACTGTATCATGAGGAATGGGGTTGGGCAGAAAAGAGAGTTGCTTTCTAGGGGAGTTTACTTTCGTTAGTTGGATCCTGGAACAGCAATGTTTACTTTTAGTTTATACGTGGAAAGCTGTACAGTTTTAAATCCTTCTATGCTGATCCGTTGCCCCCAGACAACTGAACAGCTCCCAATCTAGACAGTGATATTTCCAAAACAACTCTTCACCAATCTTTTTCAGATTTTTTTTTTTTTCTGCTTCTGGTTTCCTATTCTTTGATACTGCCTGATTTTTTGAAAGTTTTTTTTTCCCCCTTTAAAAAAATGGTAATCTTGTTCTAACTTTTCTGTCAACCCAAGGAGAAATTGAACATTTAAGCAGGACATGCTAAAGTTGTGCTTTCTATCTCTTATAAAATAGAAAGTCTAGCTAACATTTACATAATAATGAACAGAATCACCTACTGTAGACTCAACTTTAAAGATACATTTTTCAAAACCTTTGGAGATAATAGCTTGAAAGTGAGGATTTAATGCTAATAACACAGGAAATTGAATCCATTCACTTTTTTTTTTTTTTTAAATCACAACAGTAAACTAAGACTTCATATACTGTTGTGCTTTTGGAACAACTGAAATTCACGTTTGAAGTTCCTGTTTGAAAAATTAAGGAGACGCATCAAAAAGATTATATGTTCCTTTCTTGGAATTTTTGATAACAAGTACAACCATAAATGAGATCTGTAAACAAGAAATTCAAAGAACTGGCTATGGTTCTGACAATCCAGGTACTGAATTTGAGCTCCTAGACCTCAATCTGATATTTGTATCTTTTATAGCATATAAGACTAATTCTCAAAATGTAGGAAGTAATGCTCTGAATTCTTTCAGTTTCACATACTTCTCTGTTGTAATTGAATATAATTAAAGAAAACGTATACAGCAAAATATAAAGCACAGAAAAATCAGCACCACATACCATACTTACTCAAGAAAGATGTTGATGTAGTAAGTTATACCAATGAGAGCATCTGCTTCTGACCCCTGAAAAAAGAGAGGCAAAGAAGTTTAACTTTTGAAAGATTGAAGGCCAGAGCTGAAGGACAGAGATGATGTACAATAATACATAAATGCATTATTTTATTTTTTACTAATGCTTTGTTACTACTTTTCAAAAACACGTAATTTCAAAAACATTGTAATTAATTAAAAAAAAAACCTATGTCTCCAAACACGTTATAACAGATCTTTAATTTCTCTTATGAAATTGTATGATATCCATACACACACACACACACACACACTTGGAAGTGCAATGCTTAACACAGACACAATACTTGATTTCAGATCTTAACATGGAATAGAAAAAAAAATTTACTTGGTGCCTTCCACTGCTGTTTACAAGTCTGCTAATTCCTTTTGCTCAAGAAACTAGACATAGTTAAAAACAGTCATTAGTCAGCTGCTCAATAATCCCCAACTGTTTTCTGTTGTAAACCTTCAGGAGAAAAGCAATTCTTCTTGTGTTTCTTCAGACGCTGAATTCATTTTTCCGATATTCTGGAATTAAGTAAAAGCAGGCCTCCCTTCCCCCACTAGAGAACAACAACATAGCATATCCATCCATTAACCAGATCCTACAGGTAAATAAGCATTTCTCCTTAATGATATTTGTTATTTACCAGAAAAAAATCTGAAATTTATGTATTTTGTCCTATTTAATATTCCCTCCTTTATTATTAGTCTCAGCTCTGTATTTGATCTAGCAGCCAAATACTTTTTTTTTTCCCCTGCAGCAACCATGATCTTTTCCTTAATCTCCCTTGCCTTATCAGTGTAGTTCTTGGAAATACTAAGTATTTTCTAAAATACTAGGCCCTTTTTGTTTCACTTTCTTACGTGCACGTTTCATTTACATCATTAAAGAGTTCATTATTCATTAAAATACAAGCTGGTTGCTATTAAACCTCCTATTCTATTCCATCTGAATACAGCAGTTCAATGCAATTCTTTTGGGAAGCTGCAAAGCCTAAGAACCTTTGTACCTTTGATGCTTCCCATACCTACTAAGTAACAACCCTGCTACTTTCAGATCACATTTAAGTATTACCCTCATATTTATTCTGCTGCTGCCTTACTACAAATTTATTATTTTAATTTTATAGAATTTCCCCCCCACGTCATAAAACATGTAAATTAAAGGTTACTTTAAAATCTTTGCAATTGAAATCAACTAGCTAAGTCTTCTCCAAATTAGAGTACAAAGTTTATTACGACATAGTTTACCTTGTTAAAGTGTGATTTTTATGTGATCTTACATGCTTTAAGTTGGCGTGATCATTAATCTCACATTCATACCATGAAGTAAACATTTCTAAGTGAGAATAAATCTCTGTTCCTTATAAGGACATTTTTGTACAGAGTCACTAAAGAAGGCCTGAAATAGTCACAGTCAGAAAACAGGCATGATTGGCGACTGCAATGAAGGCTAACAGAGTAGTGCTTAACAAGTGTGCATCCAGTAAAAGAACCTAAGAAATAAATATTATTAAAGTACTTAGTCAGAGGAAAGCTATTTCGGAAGTCACAGCTCTACATCATCTATTAAAGTACATTTTTGGATCCTTACAGGAATACACTATTTCATTAAAATCGCTAGCAAAACAGTTTGGAAAGCCAACTTCTCACTGTTAAAACTGAGGTCAGTCCTTCAAAAAGAGGAAACATCAAAAATAAATTTTAAAAAAATATCAATATTTAAAGTGTTTGCACAGGAAATTATGTACAAATAATATTAGAAACATGTTAAGTAAACAGTACATAAATCACTAAAAGCTGAAAAGAAAACATGTTAGTAATTTAAAAGCAGTAACAAAAATCTGAAGATGTCTAACAATGTAACCGCCATGAATTTTAAACTTCATGACATCATAAAAAACCTACAATTTTGGCTAAACGAAAGGAGATTAATATCAGAGTAGGCAGGTTTTCCATTTAAATAATTACATATAAATAACATATTTCATTGAGAACTATTTTTTTTCTACAACAAAAGGGTTGCTTTGCTAGAGGCACAACAGCACAGTATGGTAGCCTCTTTGGTTCTTTTTCAAATGAGGGAGTTTAAAAAAATAATGAGAAAAGTTTCACTTAGTGAAATAAACAAAAAAAGTTACATGAAGTCAACCAATTGAGCATGAACGAACAAACGAACACACACACACACACACACACACACAGCCTTTTGGCTTTCAGATGGTATACAATACTTCCTTGTAACTCTACAAAGTAAACTAGTTGTCTTCAGAAGTACTTACAATATGCAGTAAACCAATATACACATTGTCCCCAAGGTGAAAACGGACTACAGGATCTATGAGTCAATGGTTAACACACAGTCTTATCATGCAAATATTGTAAACATTTTCTTTAATTGGGACCTCAAACATTCTTTGGTGTAACAGACTCCTAGGGAATCTCTGACTACACATTTTATATCCAACTCACACAGTAAATAAAAGGAATAAAAACTTTGCATTTGAAGTCTGCATCCCTTTAAAACACAGTATACATATATGGTCTCTATTTAAAAATGGAACTGCTCTTTTAATAAAATGTTCCTGTCTATAGATATCAAATCTTAATTGTTGTGGCCAAAGATCCACTTCTGGAAGGGGTCTGATGGGTTGCAGGAAACCAAACTTGGATGCTCTCCATTTCCTGTAAGGCACATATGTAGTGCTGCACTGTACAGAGTTTGATCCTAAAGTGGGTAAGAAAGAAAAGGGGAAAAAAAAAAGTAAACACTGAAAATGCTGTTTTTCTCCATACATCATTTTCTGCAAGTTTATTGTTGTTAAAAAAAAAAAAAGAGTAGGTGCATGCTGTGCAGAAGGGGGCTGGGAAAAGAATACTATGCAAGCGCTAACTTGTTTTGCTAGTAAAAAGAATTATTTTTAAAAATCTAAGTATTTGAATTGACTTCCAGTGCACGTCCAGACATACACAATAAAACACATCAACTGTTTTTGTAAGTGACTCTTCCAGTGAAATCATCAAGTTTTGAGCAAGTAACCAAAAAGCTATAATTATCTAAATTTTCTTCCCCAAAAGGAACTTACTCCTTTTTTGGCTTCAAGTTCTGTTTTCTTGGGTTTTCCCTTTTATTAAAAAACATAAATTAACTCATCACTGATAAAACGCCCATCTTAGACTGGATGTCTAAATACCTTTTGATGCTGCCATTGCTCTTCTCCAAAGGCAAAGATTTTCTGGCCTTTGTAGCTACATTCACGAAGCTGCACAGGTCCTTTAGAAGCATGCAGACAAAGCTCCTTCTGAATGTTATGACGAATTTCATGATGTGCAGAATACTCAAAGTACTATTTAAATAATTTTTTAGAAGTTTAGTAAATAAATATCAACGAGAGTATTAAGTTATCTCTGACATTCCAATACACAAAACAATAGATTACTTTTGTTATTCAACAGTTTGAAACTACAGAATCATTTCTTTGACTTTTAGCATACACATCTTACAAGTGTTTCCAAAATTAACTGCCTTTTTTAATTCTGGTGCAATGAAATACACTGAATAGTACTTACATGCAGAATTAGTAAATATATTTAATGCATGTACACAATGATGCAAGATTTCATTGCATTCACTCCCAGAAATCTTAACTAATACATGATACAAAGGGAAGAGTAGAAATAGTTGCATGGATAAGTTTAATTTTGTCATTTAGTAACTTTAAAAAGTTTCATTCAATTTTCATTGCTACATTTTTATATGTTCTCAGAGCAACCAAAACCCGATTTTGTCGCATGGACAGTACTGATTGCCATTAGTTAACTTTTGCTGCTCGAATTAAACATGCTAACAAAGGATTCTCTGTGAGGTTGTCATTACAAAGAAAAGCGTAATGTAAGGACATACTTTGTGGGTATTTTACTGTTACTTCCTGACAGAAGATTACTTTCAAGTCTCAGGTATCCTTGGCTATAGTTCAGGTCTAAACAGGCATTTAATTCTAACAGTTACAGACACAGCAGTCCTTTTATACCTCACATCCTGAACATTCTGGTCTCTTTCTTTAACCAGCAGGCTTCCTATCACTATGTCTGATGACAACTGTTTCTTGGTTCCGTGTCAGCCTTTGCCATATCTGTCCTTTGACAGCCCATGCTCAGTTAGCACCCTGTTGCTTTCAACTGTCTGTCCAATTAGCCAGCTTCCATCCTCCCTCCTTGCCTTGGGAATCAATGGGAGCAACACTGAGAAACAGACACCTCACTCCTAAGTTCCTACGCCCAGCATCACTGCCTGAAACAGGTACTGATAGGTACCTGCTTGGCCATTTAGCTCCCAAACATAACAGTCTACTCTAATCTGTTCATCTAAGTAAAGCTCTTTTATTTTATCTTTGAATCTTAGGGGCTCTCTTTGAGCCCTGAAAATAGGACTTGGAAACTTGCCTTAGGAATTAATTTATTTTAGACATTGAGATGTACATGTTATCACCTCTAGAATATGTTACAAATGAAAATAAAGTTACACAACTTTTGTACAACTCTGAAAACTAGGTTCTCTCTTCCACTCCCCTCTCCTACCTCAAACATAGGTGGAAAGGAGAGGAGGTAGCATAAAAAACTAAAGCCTGCACTGCTAAAGTCTGGTAAAGACTGAAGAGAGAATTGTAATATGAAGGATTAAGTAAGCAAATACCCACATCTCTTGTGTATTACTAGCACAACCTAAATTAAAAGAATAAAAGCTGCTACAGCATGGCAAAAGGAAAAATAAAGAACAAACTTAAAAAGACAGTTTCAGTACAATTCAAGGTAAGTTAGAGAGAAGTGACAACAGAAGCATACAGCAGATCTTTTAATATAACATCTTGATATAGTATTAATACAGTATTAATGACTGTGACAATTTGAAAAGGAGAATATAATACCAGAACAGAATAAAAAAAAGTTCAGTAAGTTAGTTCTGTAAAAAGCTAACATAACAGGGTAGTGATTAAACTAGACAGTATTCCTTCTGCCACTAATATTGATTAGGAAAGCATCAACTGACTAGGGTCAAGTGTCTGAGTTTCCACAGTGCCATAAATGGGTGGCTTTTACAAGTCAAGTTCATTCCCCAAATAACTATAAAATAGCACCACACACTTCTAGGGGAGGGAGATGCTACTTTTTAAATATTATAGTGCCTGAAGAAATCAGTACCGGACATCAATAAATGTCTGCAAGTCATACTGCAGGAAAAACAGGAGATCATTGCTCCCCCAAGAGCTAAGCAACAAAGAAAGCTCCTCTTGGACAAATTTAGTCACGTAGTTTACTTGCACAAGCCAGTATAGAGTAGATCACTTTGACCTCACACTACGAGGCTGCAAGCATGACAGGAAAGATGGCTCAGGCTGGCCACTTGGTCTTCCACCACTGGCCAGATTCCCATCTTCCTTGACAGTGTGAGTCCTGCTGATAGAGACAGAAGCAATAGGAGGAAGCATAAGGAAAAGAAGAGTTAAGAAGAAAACACAAGAAAATAGTAAAGGTAGGCTGAGAAGATTTTGCACAGAAACAGGAGACCATGTGAAGTAGTGCAATTATGTAAAAAATCTGAATGTGTATGTTGAACGTAGGATGTTAGATGTGGGACACAACATGAAGAGCAGTGAAAAAAATCTGCCTTGAACAAATTACACACATATATTTACATATGAATTCTTAAAAAAACTATATCAAAAAAAATGTAAATCTTGCATGCTAAATATAAGTCCATTCCACTACATCAAGTTAAAAGCTTTACTGTGGTAAACAGTTGATCATAAAACCCAGATATTTTACCTGATTTCCTCCAAGTCCATGACAAGAATACATAATCAATGGTTTGCCACCATGGTTGTTTTCACCAACATCCAGACACATGTGGTTACCTACATTTTTTAGCTAAAGAAAATTTGTTATCAGCAAAAAAGAAATACAAAAGCTCAGTGAGGATGAGAAAAAAATAAACTGCCTCACTTGTGTAGAAGCCTAACCTTTATATTAACAATTAAAACTGTTAATTCATTTTTGCTTCTACTATGCTCCAATTTTAAAATCTTGTTCCCACAGAAGTATTTTTTTCTTCCTAAAAGTCTATTAACTAACTACAGACAGTTGTCTACAGCCATGCACTATCAATTACTCAACTACCATTCTCCATAGTTACTCTACTGTAATCTGATTATTCAGATTACAATTTGAAAACATACACACAAAATATTCAAAACTAGAGAAAGGGGAAGTTTTATTTGTAAATACATGCTAGATATTCAGAATTGTTTAATACTTTGTTGGCTTTAGTGTTATGAAGTCTAAGAGGTTAATTGACAGAGGATATGTAATGAAATTTAAAATAAATAATTTACATCATAAACCTAATTCAGAGTAGTATACAATTGCCAGAGTACAGCCTTCCTTGTTAACATGAATTAAAAATTCTCTCAGACTTTTCATTATATAAAGCTAAATTTATTTTGACAATTCAGGAAAACTCACCACCTGTTTAGAACTTGTGTAGTACTTCTGTGGCAGTCACTATTAAGTCATGGGCAGAATGCTGACTATATTATCAGGCTTCAAAATCCCTTTAAGCAAAGCTACTTTTGCTTAAGAAGAGTGTTTGCTTAAGTTTCATAATAACATCAGTAGAGCAATAAAATACTCAAATAGCAAGATATGCAAGAGAGACTCTTTATCAACAGTATTGATAGAAAACTCCACAGCAATTAACAATAGCTAAAATGTAAACACTATGGCTAAAGTAGTATAAGGGATTAGCTAATTTCTTAAATTCTAGAATGCTAGAGAAAAGAATTAAAATTAAACTCACATATCCAGAAAACAAAGGATTTAGGTCTGGAACATATACTTCTGGATAAACATTATTCAGATACCAGGTAAAATTCTTACACTGCAAACGCTGCCTTAAGTCGAGTCGTTTTGAGATGTCTCCAAATGTTTTCTGTTGCAGGAAGAGGAATTTATTGATATTATTATTATTATTGTACATATAGATCTATAATATTCTGTTCTGTAGCATCAGAAAAGTAGATCTTTTTTAAAAAGTACTGTGCTACTACAGTTACTGCAACTTGTTTTTCATAACACCACTGACATCCTGCCTGCAGCATCTCAGAGCACAAGAAAGAAAAAAACACTGTGACATGCAAATCATAGAAGTACGCATAGTTCATAGAGTGCTTTAACAGTGCTATAAAGTGGCAACGTAAAAACGACTGAAGACCATACTGACCACAGCCATAAAGCTAACCAGTGAATATATCTCACTAAAGAGAGTGCTTGAGTGGATTAGTTCAATAACTAGCATAATAGTCAGTATAACACAGTATGTCCCACATAAAATCCAGTTGTGTTTTTCTGCTAAGCTTGCTTGGGAAATCTAATGCTATTACTGCTACAATATTCATATAAAGGGATAAAAAACATCTTCTAAGAGAAAAGTGTAAATTCCAGCTGGTAAACTACCAACGTTCCAGACCACTTACAAAAACAACCTTCCCCACCAAAGCCTAAATTTGAGTTTCTAAATTGTCAGAAATAGGATTGATATCTTTTTTTTTTTTTTTTTTTTTTGAAAGGGAAGGTTATAAGATTAATTAAACTGAACTATGTATTTTCACTAAAATGTCTACACTTCAAACGTACTTTGTCAATAAATAACTTTTTGCTCACCAAAATTTTCAATGCAGCAAGTGTGATTTCTAAAACCACCACCATCACCACCTACTTGTTTCACAATTTTTGCTGCCTCTGTGTTTCTTCGGTAAAAAATTTCTTTATATTCATCCATCCAGACTTCTGCGAGGCGGACTTGATTACGTGTGATTACTTGAGTACCTTTTGGGAAAGTATGGGGACTCTTGCTGCGAAAGACATGGCCAACAACAGAGCAAGGCATGATCTCCAACTGTCCACCACATTGCCATACCTAATAATAACATTTTTTGTATAAGTGCAATGAAGTTATGATTAAGGAGATGGAAGAAAAAAAAAAAAGTCAGCAACACTACTGTTCTTTTAAATAGAACAAAACAACACTACCAGCAAGAGAGTATATATCAGGAGCACTGTAGGTGAAATTATCAGGTAAACCCTGATAATGGTTAACTTAAGCAAACTTAAGCAAACCCTGATAATGTACATTTCAGCTATCAACATTAATGACATTAAAAAAAAAAATCACTTTAGTGAGCAAGTTTGTAGCTTATTCCATAGGTTATTAGTAATTAATTTGCCATGTCCTAGATGGCTGATTAAACAGAGTAGTCAAAATACAACACTAATTTGTCCTCAAAAATCATGTAGACAGTTGGTGTAGAAACTGTGGTGTAGTGCAGTATTAAGTAGGTAGCTAAACTTACTCTGAAAGACATTTCTATATTTTCACCTCCCCATATTTCCATTTCATCATCATAGCTTCCAATGTGTTCAAAATACTTTTTTGATATTGAAAAGAGACCTCCAGCAAAAGTAGGTGTTCTGCAAAAAGAGAAAATTACTGTGGAAAAGAAGACTCAAACTTTCAGGTATTATTATCAAAATATAGATATAAAAACTCAGTATTACTGTTCTAGAATGTTTCTTAGCATTTGTCAGTGCTTCACTCCATTAAAATATTTTCCTGACACAGGCAATTAAATCTGCCCACATTGTGTCTCATTTCACAATTTTATTGTCACTCATTAACAAACGGATTATCAGACAGTATCAGTAAAAATAACATATTTTCCCTGTATGGAGGGAAAGTTACTACTCCTTTAGACCAGTAACATGTCTGAGAGCAAAGAATGCATTATATTGTGTGTTTTAAAATTCATAACCTGGATCCTACAGAAAACATTACATAAAACATCTAAGATGCTAAGACTTGTGACTATACTCAATGTATCATTTACAAACAGCTTTTTACTAAGAAACAAACAAACAAACAAACAAAAAAATGAAGGATATTATTCAAGTTACATTTACCTGATTGGATAGGTTTCATCTTTTCTTCTTTTATTTTCATATTTAGGAAGAGACTCCCATCCAAATGACAAACTCCAGTCAAAATTTCCTCTATTGTGGTTATGCCCATAAGGAGATGGCTTACTAAATTCAAAAGTATTGAGATCTATAGAAGCAATATCAGGGCTTACAACAGCAACAGAGTTCTCAGCTATTCTTGCCAACAATGGTTCTAACCAGCCATAAAAGCATTCACCTATAGAAAAAATGGGAACAAGTACTGAATTTTCAGTTTGACTATATGATAGTATAATGGGAATAATTTAACATGACTATAGCAAGCCAATACAGTTTGTAAATAGCACTTTCAATGACATAAAATAGCAGTAGAAGAGCTAATACTTCATGTTCATAACTCGTAAAAAATCTGTAGCATTAAATCAAAGACAAAATTCACTTACAGTGAGCATCCAGAAAGGTGAGGGTCTCTCCTGTTGCTACTGAAGCTCCCAGCAACCGTGCAGTGATTAGACCTTTCCTTTCCTTTTGACGGACAACTTTAACAATCTGAAATTGCTTCACGTATTCATCGAGTTTATCATGCAAGTATTCTAGAAAGAGAAATTGTTTTTAGGATATTGAGTATGTATAGCATGGCCTAAAATTTCACTTTACTAAACTAACAGGACGAACAATTCATTCTAATTCCAGCAGTGACCTGAACATTAAAGCAGTGAACAAGTTCTGACTGTTGAATGTAATTTTTAGGGGCTGAGTTTTGTTGAGGATGAGAATGAAGGAAGAGGTAACAGGCAGACAACAGGGCTTGGAGAACTGAAAATTTAATTTTAAAAGACAAAGGACACTTGCTGGAACAACTGTTCTGCTGAATCAACAGCTTGACTATCAACTCAAAATCCGGTTTCACAAATACATCATGCAAATGCATCACATACCTACTCAACAGTATATTTTACTCCAGGTTTTCAGAGGCTACAATATTTACTCTTGACAGAAGCTATATAAAACAAAAACAACCACACACCACCACCACCACAAAACCCCACAAATTAAACATGAAAAATTTGGGAAAGAATCTCACATCCTTCATAAAACATCACACTTTGCCACCCTCTGCCTACCCTTTGTATTAAGCTGTACAACTAAACTTCACATGCAGGTGCATCTAAATGTAGTCTTGACAATAAATGTAAATATATTGATATGAGCATGTATGCACAGACATGCTCATCTAAAGCAAAGTTTTTGAACTTGTATTTGTGATTACACTCAGTATATATTCAATTATTTTTTACACTCATGTTAAGTACAGAAGATTATTTTTCTGTTAATTTGATTTTCTAGGAAAGAAGTTTACCTTCATATTAGTGAAATTTCTTTGCAATCACAATGATAAAATGATAAAAGCATAGGCCAATTTACCCTTGGATACTTTGTTGTACTAACGGCAGTTCATCTAAAGCAAACATCACAGAGCTACTTGTCATGCAATCACTCATTCAAATTCTAGCGCTCCTTAAATTGCGTAATTAAAGAATATCCTGAGTTGGAAGGAACTCACAAGGATCATCAAGTCCAACCCCTGGTTCCACAAAGGACTACCCAAACCCTACACCTGAAAGCGGTGTCCAAATGGTCCCTGAGCTCCAGCAGCTCAGGCTGTGCCCACCACCCTCTGGCATAGAACCTTTCTGTCATATCCAGCATGACCCTCCCTAAATGCAGGTCCTTACCATTCCCTCAGGCCCTGTCACTGCCAATACTGATCACAGCTCAGCACTGCTCCTTCGCTCCCCTGTGAGAAGCTGCAGGCCACCATGAGGTCTCCCCTCTGCTCTGGTCTGAACAAACCCAGGAATCTCAGTCATTAGTGTAGCCCTCCTTCACCTGCTAATACTTTTATGTCCTTCTTATGTTGAGGCACTCCAAACTGCACTCAGTGCTCGAGGTGAGGCCACACCAGACAGAGCAGAGCAGGACAACCCCTTCCCTCGCCCGGTGCCAGCGCTGGCCCTGACACAGCCCCAGGTGTGGTTGGCCCTTCCGGCTGCCAGGGCACACTGCTGACTCAGATGCAACTTGCTGTTAACCAGATTCCCCAGATCCGTTCCCACAGACCTACTGTCCAGCCCCTCATCTCGCAGTCTGTACATAGAACCAGGGCCTCCCCCATTCCAGGAGCAGCATCCAGCACTTGCTCTTCCTTCTTCCTCATACAAATGGTGAGCACTGTGAAATTTGTCAAGACCTTGGTGCAAGGCCTCTCTACTCCCAAAGAGTCAACACTCCTCCCAGTTTAACATCATCCACAGATTTACTTCCAGATCTTTACTGGAATAATTGATGAAAGCATTAAAGAGTACTGATTCAAAAATATAGTCCTGTAGAATCCCACTGGTGGCAACTAGGGCAATTCTCAGGCTATAGTCTCCCCTTTCCCGATACAGCCATGTTTTGATTGTCATGAGACATTCTCAGGGTCACACCACCATGGCTTTCTAATGTCACAAGCCTCTTCCCTGCCAACCGCTATAAATATGGGGACTCTGCCAACAGAAAACCAGCTATCAACAGACGTGGGTCTTGTTGAGCTTCTTCTGACACAATGGACAATTTAGATAGAATCCTCCTTCCCACTTCTATGTAGGAGGATGGAGTCTCCTCCACCAAAGAAGCTTAGACTTCAAGGGAGCAGCAATGAACCCGAGCCAATGGATGTGGATCCACCCAAAGGTGATGTTGAGCCCATGGAGATAGATCTATCTTCAGAAGAAGAATCAATGGAAGTGGATCCACCTCCATCAGGGCAAGGCAAGTTCTATAACATTATGCTTGCTTGGAGACAATACCTTGTTCATTGCCAGCACACCAGGAGCCCTCAATTTCCATCTTGGTGCTGAAATGTCACCATCCACCAGAGAGCCCCAGCATCAGATGCTGCTCCCTATCACCCTTTCTATCCTGTCTCCCATTCTCATCTTTGCCAAGGCCTCTCACCTCTTCATTCCCAAGTTCTGAGGAAAAGGGAAGGACCAGGACTGGAATCCACTGAGCAGCTGCACTGAGACAACAAGAGTCCAATAGATGGCCCTGAGCTCCCTGCAGCCTCCACTTGAGCCCTAAGGCAGAGGGCAGGACTGGGACTGGTGTCCAGGCAAGCCCTGAGAATGAGGGTAGGACTGGGACTGGTGCCCTGTTAGCTGTACTGACACAACAGGAAGAGTCCAGCTGATGGCGTCAAGCTCCCTGCAGCCATCCAGGTGGCATTAGAGAAGCTCCAGAGGCAGCTGATCCTTTGAAAAAGCAGAGAACTTAGGTTTGGGTTGAAAAAAGGGCTGATGGACAGCATGAAACCTCATTCCAGTTGCTTCATTAGGACTTTTCTTCAAGATTGGACAGTAAGCAATTTAAAAGGACAATACAAAATAATAATAAATTATTAAAAAAAGCAAAACCAGTAAATGCCTCCATTTTTGGCACTATAGGGACTGCACTGGGAGTCCTGTGACCCCTCATGCTCTCCCCAGTGCCCAACAAATTTACCCTATGCGGTGACAGCCCAGCTCAGGCCTCAGGCACACACAGCAGCCCGGGACAGGCTGAGGGCTCAGCCTTTGCCCAGTGTTGGGCACAGAAGGCTGTGGGGGTTATAGAGCAGCAGAGGTGCCTCCACTCTCACTGCAGGGCAGCACTGAAGGATGGGAGAAGCCTCAGCAGCCCCCGGCACCTGGTAGTTGGGGCAGGGATGGTGGTTGGCATGGTTGGCACAGAGGGTGCTGTCTGCTGTACCAAAAGACAGCTTCAATCACTGACAAGGAACTCCATCATGGCCTTCTGCCCAGCACAGAGCTGTGACCTCCACATTCCCAGTGGCCTCTGCAGCCACAGGAACCAACATGGCCACCCAGACGGAGCTCCTAGCCCACGTGTGGCTGCAGTTACTGCACCCACCGCTGCCTCCTGCATCTGCCAGTCCAGACCTCTGAGCTCTCCAAGGACAGGCGTTGTTGAAGCAGATGTTTACTCAACACTTCCTAAACTGCCTCCCCCACCCCCAAATTTGTTTGCAAAACAGCAGTGTGGGGGAATACCAAAGAGAGACATTTTCACACCTAGTTCTTAAAGGCTTTCTTTTTGATCTCTCGCAATTTTTTCACCTCTCACAGCAAATTTAAAGAAAGCAATCCCAGATTTCCTTCTCCAAGCTAGAAACAGCTGGTGGGTGCCAAATTATGAAGAGTATTGTCGCGTTAAATCTTTATTAAGAGCTATGACCCAAACAAGAGCATCTTCAGACAAACACAGCAGAGGTCCAAGCCACCCAAGCCTGATACCACATTTACCACTAAGCTTTTCAAAGGTGTCAAATTCCTTGACATAATCAAAAATAGGTTTTAAAAACTTCTCAGAAGAGAATTTCACACTTGACAATTCTTGCAAAGAAAAAGTGAGGGAGAAATATTTTGTATTTTAAAGGAAAACAAAAGAAACAAAAGTACTTGGAACACCATAATGTATTTAGTATGGTCGTAAGGAGATGATAGCCTCTTTTATCCCATTCTATATATAATCCTAACACACTTTCAATTAAATAAAGAATACGTTCAATGAAAAATGGAAAGACTTCCTACCGTCAACACTGGCATCATCCACCAAAATAATTTCCTTTAGCAGTATGGCAGGAGAAGTGTACATCACGCTGTGAACAGTTCTGAGCAGAGTAGACCATGCTTCATTATGAAAAACTATTATAACACTTGTGGTTGGCAATGGCGGGCAACGCTTGAACTTTTGTTCAATGCATCTACAGATTAGAAATTATCAGATGTTAGAAAATGGACAAAAAGTTTTGATTCAAGCTCTTAAGAGAAATCCTACTCTTCTCAATATGAAACTGTATAAATATGGACATTAAATCTTTCAGCTTCTCCAATTTCTGTCCAAGTTTTGGAGCACAAACATAGCACAAAAACAACTGGAAAAGCTGTAAGAAGTATTTTGTAAACATCTGGCAAATAAGAATTCCACCTGAACAACTGGCTCAGCTCTAGTACTCTCACACAACATTTGAGTATATTGCATAGAGCACCCAGGTCTTATTCAGACAAAACTACATTTTTCTATTAAAAGCAGCAGACACTGAGCTGAAAAGTCAGAACATTACTATTGAAATCCAAAAACATGAGAAAGTATTTACTTGAAGCAATTGAAGAAATGCAGTTTGAAATAGAAAAATAGAACAAATCAAATTCAGAACTTGATTTTTTCTTAGAAACACTACATAATGCTTAGAGCAATATAACACATTCAAGTGAAACAAATTTAAACATCCAGGTTTTCAAGACTGATATATTCTGGACAGAACTTTAAACCCAACTGTGAGTCAAGCTAACCAGACAATGTTTCTGTATTCATAAATTGCACACTTACTGTTTATTGCCTGCCAACTCTAGAGGCTGGAATACTTCCCAAGGCAATTATCACATCTATTGCCAAAGCCCTCACAAAACATACAAGCCAAGTCTCACCAGTTACACTACCATAAAGATTATTGTGATCTGCAGCACACATAATGTGCTGGCCACCCTACCAGCACCAGCTCAGTAAGGACTGTCACTTCTGACATCAAGAGATGAGAATACTGAAGGAGATTTCTCAGAACCAAAATCCACTCTAACCATAAAGTCCTACTGTTTTGTTAACAAAATCATAATATGCCAGTGGTTTTATTAACACTTAATATTTTGTTTAAAAAAGAATAGGGAATGGATTTTAAAACAGAAATAAGTTTAAACCATATTTTCAGTTTTCTCCTAAGAAAAATGTAGCAGCTTTCAGAAAGTCACTGAGAAAACGTAGCAGAAAACCTTATTTAAATATGTTTAACATGAATGTGAGCCTTTCTAAATATTCTTGGCTTTTGCACTCTGGAACATTATGTACTGTAAATGACCATGTATCACCCAGACATTTCCCTTTCCAAGCGATAATCTAATGCTAAACTCAAATCACAGCCTCCACATTTCTGTCAAATTATTCAACTATCAGGACAAACACATTTCCACGTACTCAGGAGGTCGAGTGTCCGGTCCAAGATCCCGATGTAACGAAATCCTATCACTTGCAAATGCATTGAAACAGTGTTTTTCTTCTCCACGCTCTTTTTCTTTCTGCTCTTCTGGATTTAGGTTGATGGTTTTAAATGCTTTACCAGAAGCTCCGGGAGCGTTAGGATCTTGAAGGGGTCGATCTAGAAAGGGTTTTAGTTCCATCGTAGTGTAGTGTCCTGGCAAACAGTGTCTCTCTCCAGGAACCTTAGTTTGCCTTACAGGTGCTTTTATCTGCATTTTTGGCTTTGCACCATTGATATTGTTCATAGCATTTAGCACAAGACCTAATACATGACTTTTCTTTCTGACAACTGGCTCAATCCCTCCTTCATCTCTAAAATCTTGGACACCAACTTCTCGTTGCAGTAAAAATAAAAATACTATAAAGACTAACACAATAATGCTAAATTTCCAAAGTTTCCAGTGAAAAAATAATTTCTTGAATAGTTTAGGCATTATTTTCAAAGCCATTCTAGTTCTAAAAGTTTATCACAAAACAAAAGCTTCCCTGAATGATGTTCTTCAATACTATTTTACAGCATATCTTGAAAACATAATACCTGTAAATTAAAACAAAAAGTAATACGTTAGACAAACAGTAAATACAACAATGTAGAGCTACAAGAAATTAATGGGCAGGAATTAATTCAAACCCCCAAGCATCAAATATCATGTGCCCATGAATTAAATATAGGATTCACCTATATGTAAAATACCCGAGATGCACTTCCCCCCTCCTTTTTTTTTTTTTTTTTTTTTTTTATCAACATACTTCAAACTGAAGAATCAGAAAGCAGGCATTCCAGTAAGAATAAAATATTATTTCTGTATAAAGGCAGTACTTCACATTAATTTTCTTCCAAATCTTGAAAATTAAGGAATTCCGAGGGAATTTTAGTTCAGTGGTGGGATAGAAGGAAAATAGATGCAACCAATATGACAAGTTCTAGGTAGAAAGACCAGCATGAAAAGTGAACTATAAAGATGGAAAGGATTCCTCATAGAGATTTAAAATTTCCAATATTTTAAAACCGATTTCCATTTCAAGGTCAGACTCAAGGGACCAGATTGTCAAGGGAGAAATTGTTAAGATTAATTTAGTTATCTATTATACATGTTAAATGCAGACTTAATACAGGTAATGGGCAGTAGGATAATTTAGGTTGTATCTATATATCTTTTGTACAGTGTTCTCTGGCATGTCCTGCTGCAACTCATCAAAAGAATACGTTAAAGAGTTCCCCTCTTTCACCTCCTAATTTTTATTTATTTATTTTATATATTTATTTTTACAGATGAGGCAATTACTCAGTAGCTTTCAATGACGAGGAACTATGAAAAATAGTTGAGGACCAGCATCCAAGTGATCGGAATTAAATTCTCTCTTTAAAAGTGGCTGTTTATAAGAAGGGGAGAAAAAGCAACATCCTGAATTCAAAGCAAGGCTTTATTTTTGTACATGTTGCATCTAAGTGAACTGAGAAAAGAACTAAGCTGCAGCCAGGTAGAAGCCATACTTAATTTCTTGCTAACCACTGACCAAAGAATTGAATAAATAAATAAATAAATAAATAGGAAAAACAACAACAAAAAAGGTGCAATAATATATACACACAAAGTTATAGAACTTGTAGAAAATTTTTTTTAAAAGTCACTTGATTTCCCTCAAGAATTTGTAGGGTCAGGTATCCAATTGTTTATATTATAGTTTATTTTAAAGTTAAAGTATTTTTTTTTTTTTAATAAATCCATACATTATATTCAACTGCTACTAATCCTGTTGTAGCATCATTACATAGATAATACAATATACAAAAAATACCCTTCACAATGCTCATAAATTTTCCAAGAAAGCTCATTTAAAAAATCCAATCCACTTCTGTCTTACATATTATTTTCCCAATTTTGTTTAGACCTCAAGATTTTGCACTGCAGTAGATGCCCATATAGAGCAAAACAAAGAATAAAATCATTCTTTCTGTCCTGGGGAAAAGGAAAGAATCTTCATCATCTTTGTAGCCCTCCTCTGGGCGCTCCAAGAGCTTTATGTCCTTATGCTGTGGCACCCCAACCTGATGCCAGTGCTCTAGGTGAGTCTGCACCAGGCAGAACAGGGCAGGACAATCCCTTCTCTTGACGGGTCAGCAGTGCTGAGCCATGGCACACTGCTAATTCAGATCCAACGTGCTGTCAAACCAGAACCCCCAGATCTCTCCTGGGCAGGGCTGCTGTCCAGCCCCTCATTCCCCAGTCTGTACATAAATCAAGGATCACCTCATCCCAGGTGCAGAATCCAGCACTTACTCTTGTTAAGCCTCATGCAGTTGGCAACTACCAGCCCTATAACCTGCAGATCTCTCTGTACCAAAGCCTCTGTACCTTTGAGTGAGTCAACAGCTCTTCCTAATTTAGTACCATCTGCAAGTTTACTTAGTTGCACTTGAGTCCTGCATCCAGATCACTTATAAAAACAAAACCAGCCCTAAAATGGAGCCCCGCAGAACCCCACTAGTGACTGGCCACCAACCTGATGTAATCCCATTTACTTCAGCCATTTGAGCCCGGCCCAATTGTTCACTCATTGCATTACGTTACCTACTGTTTCTGTCTAGCCATATGCTAAGCAATTTGTCCAGAAAGATACCGTGAGAAACAGCATAAAAATCTTCGATGAAATCCAAAAAGATGACATCAACTGGCTTCTCCTGGTCAGCTAGGTTATTGGCTATGATCAATAACTGTTGTATTTCAAGTGTTGTATTCTCCTAAGGTGGCAGGAGAGTCTCTGCTCTGGTGCCTGAAGCACCTCCTCACTGACCTTGGTGCTTGCAGGACTGTTTTTCCCACATGGTTCTCACTCCTCTCTCACAGCTGCTGCAGAGCATTTTCTACCCTTTCTTAAAAAATGCCATGGCAGATTCACCACCTGCTGCACTGATGGGTTCAGCTGTGGCCAACAGTGAGGCTGTGCTGGAGCTGGCTGAGACCAGCACAGGGCAGCTGTGCTCACAGAAAGCACCCATCAGTCCCTCTGTACCAAAACCCAGTACAGAAAGTAAAACCCTAAGCACCATCAAGAAGACTGCAACCTGTAAAACCACTTCTGCTAAATCTGCCCGGGGTCAGTTTGAGCCTACGTTCTCTGCAACCTCTTAACCGCAATTGCTTTTATAACCCTACAGAAGAAGAAACTTTAATTACACTATTGTTTCCCAATGCACAAGCACAGCTAATATTAGTATATCTTAAAGTTTAGAATCAATAAGCAATGTAAATATATTGTCTTCAAACAGGAAAATATAAACATCTTTTCTTATAGTTGAGGCACTTGATATCAAAAGTCTGGCAGTTTCCTTATTTCACAAGCAGTCATTTGGGCACAGTCAGTCAGGAAAACACTGGGGAGAGGGCAGTAGGTTGGTTTGCTTTCAAACACCACAGCCCTCAAATATTCTTTGTACCACTAACAAAAATCAACATTCTCCAACCACCTCTTTGGGCCTCTTCATGGCAGTAAAGATTAAACTTAGATGAGCATCGTGTTATGAGATATAACACGAAAAGACAGGCAGAAAGTAATTCTATACAGCAACATTGAATTTCACCAAAGTTTCACACTGAAATAACACTTCAATTTGAGACCTGAATTTTTATTCAGGTCAAAATGCTTAAGATTCTCTTTTGGTTCGATGACCTGGCTTAAGACTACTCAGAAAGGGTAGAAAAACAACAAGCTATGGTTACACATCCATTATCTGACTTACTACCACTTAGTTTCCACTAACTTAAGTTATGTTAGAGTTAAAAATGCATTTATCAGATTTCCGTTCTCTGCTTTCAGCATTTAAATCAGTGCAACAACTATTACTTACAGTAAGCTTGCTTCATCATTTTTCCCCAGCTTTACATATGCTAAATGAACTTAGGCTTAGTTTCCCACAGAAAAAAGTCTAGATAATACCAGAGATGTCTTACGTACATCGTTGCACATACTTCCAGGGAATTAAATCTTTGCTGCTGCTAGCTCTGCTGCTAGCACAGTAACACGTTCTTCAAGTAAGATTTGATGTGCATAGGTATGCTTTACCAAAAACTTAGTCTAAATTACTGTTAATTTTATTTGGCGTTATTTCCTTCACAAATCGAGCATATGCAAATCCTTAGGAAACTCATGATCCACACAGCAAATCAGTCAAAATATCTGTGAAGCAAAACAAACACAATCTAAAATTCACCAAGACTATTTCTTACGTTACCCATGTTTTGCACACATCTGCCTTTAAACAAGTTATATAAAACTTAAGCAGACTAACGAGCAAACAAAAATGGCATAGCAATTTATTCTGCCTTTGGTTTTCTTCATAATTATTATTTCTTTTTATCTGCATGCACTCTGATTTCTCTTTGACAGCATATTTCCCCGTAGTGGAGCTGCCTGCCCTGCCTGTTCATGCATAACCAGTGCCATAATGCACAGGTGAAACACGTCTGCCCCCAGGAATGAGAAGGCAACTCCTGTAAGGAGGTTGTGCAAGGAGAGCAACACAACCAATCCTTTCAATGGGGACTCGCACATTCCAGCAGCATGCTGTGCAGAGAAAACAGTGCACGTGGTGCTTCAGAGGTGCTTTTTAGAAGAAAGAGTCAACTGATAACCTTGGGACAGTGTATGCAGCTGGGGTGAAGTGCACCAACACTTCCCCTTTGCCACAAATGCACGAAGTCTGATACAGATAAATCCCGAGTGCAGCGTTACTGATGAAACACTTTGAAGGGACAGTACTTAACAATAAGAAAAGAGCTCTCTGCCACACAGAATAATATCAGCTCCCAGAACACAAACTATTTTACACAAACAACTGTCACCTAAGCTGTATTTTTCCTCATGTTTTTACCCAGAGTACTTTGATAGTCAGCAACGCAATCTTCACTTGCCACAAACATTTCATACATTTTTATGGCACAGCAGCATCAGTAAGCACAGACCAGGCCACGGTTCTGTCCTTCAGGACATGCTGAAGAAATACATAGCAGAGTTCAATTCCTTGAGGTAACTGGTAAACAAAGTATAGGCTGCTTTTGTTTTGTTTTTAAAAGAAAAGAACCAGAAAACTCATAAACACTACAAACGCCTTCTAAAAAGTGCCAAAAGGCTGCAGCCGCCCTGCTTCACAGCACAGCACAGAGCAGCAGGCGAGCTGAATGCACAGCAGCCTCTGTTACCTTATGCCACCCACCAGCTCCGGTGTCACACTGCCTGCCAACAGCCGGCCTCACAGGACAGCCTCTCTCCAGTACCCATGTGCACACAGCTCTGCCTCTGGCAGCTCGCTCTGAACAACACTACTGGCAATCATTTAAAAAAAACAACCAACTATATGTCACGGTAACCTAAATCATCAGAAGTTCTCGCAGAACAATCCAGTAAGAAGGAATTTCCTGGGGTTGGTGTCCACAACATACCTTTGCTTTTTAATAAAGTTGTTTTAAATCTACCTTTCTTTTATCTGGATGTTAAACAGTGTTCTGATGATTTCTGAGAATGTTTCTTACAGAACTTGAAAAATGCTTTTAAAAGGATAGTAACAACATTAAGCCTTAAGAATGATTCCAGCCACATCATTTTTCTCACTATTTAGCTTCACCCTTAATTTAACTCCCGTCACTCCAAAATCACAGTCTAGTTAAAACCCTGTGTACGTTTTATTCTTCCCCAACACCTTAATGCTCCTCTAACGACGAAGCAGGCCTGGGAGGAGCAAACGTTGATTAAATTCTGGAGAAAAACCCACCTGACACTAACGACCAGCTACTCCCCAGACCAGCATAAATCTGCCAAGGGCACACAGTTACACCTGTTGGGTGTTGCTCTGCTAAGGAACTTTCCGGCACTTTTTGTCTTCTTCGCATGAATCCCACAGCAGATTCCACTAAAACATTAGCTATTGAAGTAAGCACTCCCACTACCCTGGAAATCAAAAGTTTCCTACCAATTAAAAAAAAAAATTAAAAAATAAAAATCTCTGAATAAAACCATACCTACTTCCCAAAAGAACATCCACACACATGATGAACTAAGAAATGCCACATCTGAAGTGAATTTCTCATGCAGGTTTAGCTGAATGTGGAATGTCCATAAAATCAAGAGCAAAAGCACTTAAGAACATGGGGAAAAACAAAAGAGCTTCTTAAGTTTACCACCCTGTACTACTGCTTATGATTTATTAGTATTTGGCTTAAATAAAGGAATGATTCACAAAACAAAAGATGTATAACTTAAAGATCAATGCTTCACCTGAAAAGGAGAAGCGGAATCACCTGGTCATCACCTGCCTGTGCACTCACAGCATCCAATACTTGCCCCCTGGCTCCACCAAGAATTCCCACTTGTTGTCCCCTAGACAGGGCTGTACCCAACGAGCTGGTGATCAACAAACCCCAGATGTTGCTCCTCTGGATGCATTCTTTGAGGCTCAGCCAGGGGAAATCTTGTTCTGCTCCCGAGTGCGTTGTAAGAATACTGAGTGTCTTCATTTCCCAAGTTTCAGTTTTTTTAAAAAAAAGTCTAAGGGCATAGATTATTCTAGCACTGACTGAAGTAATTCACCCCAGTGATTACTACAGAAAAATCAGAAGCAGTAAGCTGATGATAACACAATGGGTGGAAGAAATTCAAACAACAGCAGCAGTCCAGAACACCTAACTGTATTCCAATCTTGTAAGTGGTCCTCTTTGGGAGTTCCTTTAAGATTTAAAAAAAAAAAATAACACTACCACAACTCCTTCCTTCTGTGTATTCTTCTAAGAACTCTTTCAGTATCAGCACTACCATTGCTTTTCTACAGCTGAGCACTGTATGGGATGGGCAGAGATAGAGGCTAATTCTGATAGTTATCCAAGACAATAAATGATGAATTAAAAGTACACAGTGACTATATATTAAAACAATATTTATAGCTTGTTTTTACAGTCTTGGAACTACAACAATGCTCTGAATTTGAGTTAAATTTAAAATTTAGTCAACACTGCAGCTTCCTTTTTCTCCTTGCCAGTTTGGGTTTGGGCTGTTGTTAAAAGCATTCTAAACTGCTCCTAAAAATGCCACAATGACAACTTAGCACCACAGCAGCTGTAAAGTGCTATTATAACTTCATAGTATTGGTGTCTGATTTTTATTTAAGCACCAGAAAACAATCTCTGGATCATATCCAAGGTAATTTTTTTTTTTTCCCCAATCGCAGTGATGTTTCTAAGATAAGAACAGCATCTGAGTATTAAGTGCAGGCCCTGAAGTCATAGTTTTACACTCTAGTTTGCCTTAAAATTTGTTTAAACCAGAAGCATAATGGGGGGGGGAAAAAAAAAAAAAAGAAAGAAAAAAAAACTTCCTCATGTTTTTGCTTTGTTTATTCTGAAATGCACTGAGCTTTACTGGGTCACTTTCAAACTGCAGGAAACTCTGAGGTGCCATCTCTTTGCTCTTGCCCTCACCTGACCAGTTCTGCATGTCACTGCTGAACAAACTTACGTAACAAACAAAAAGTAGTGGTTTGACTACAGGATGTTATTTTTAATTAGCTGTAAGTAGCACTGTGACATTGTTTCGCTGTTTATAAGCAGAACTATAACCTACAGCACAAAGTAGCAGCAAAGCTAAGGAAACGCAGTCAACTTTGGGGCAAGAGACTGAGACTGCATTTCACAAACAGTAGCATTTTGCAGACCAGAAACTTGCAGCGCTTTCCAACCTTACAGAAGATAAACACAGAAAAAATCACGCATGCTGGTGAGCAGCTGAGCATCAGTTCATGTTACGACCACGACTCCCTGCACTGCCAGAAACGGGGAAGCCCTGCACATCGTATGAGCTCGCTGAGCAGACAGGCAGCACGCGTTTGTCCAAAGCACAGAGGAATTTCTTGGAGCAGTGCAGTCGGTAACCAAGGGCCGCACCACAAAGGGCGGCCGTATCCCGCTGCTATTTTGACAGCAGCCACAGCACCCAGATGCCCCACCTAAAAACAGGGCAAGGTTAAACGGCCACGGAGCCACAGGGCAGGGAGGGCTGCTCTGCTGCTCCCCACGGCGTGACAGAAATAGCAGCAACCACCCTACCCTCCGCAACCAACTTAATTTCTACTGTACTGTTACTGATGCCTCAGGAAGGCAGCGGCGGATGACAAAGCGACCGGGCCTGCGGACAAGCCCTGCTAAAAGCAGCGCAATAAGCCGCAGGGCGGCCGCGGCGCCGGGCTCAGCCCAGCAGCACAGCGCTGCCCGTGGGCGGGATCCAACGGGCGGAACGAGGGCAAAAGATGTAACGATTTGTGAAAGAGAAGGCTAACGTGTGAAACGCTCCGCGGCGAACGCGTAACACTCAAGTTGCCAGTAAGGTATTTCTTGTTCGATCAGCAAAAACGTTTAATGAAGACTTCTAGGTATAAGCACGCTTACACAAAGACAGAAACGAACGAAGCTGAGGCTATCTGTACCGCAAGTTTTCTCGCCAGCTCCCGAATACTGAGAAAACGAGCGAGAGCCACGCGTAACACGGGGCGCTGGGAAGAGGCAGCCCGGCCGGCACGCGCCCTCGCTCAGCACAGGACGGAGCGCAGCACGCGGAGCTGCACGCCGCCCCGCTGGGACATCCCCGCGTCACCGCACCGCTGTGGGGCCCGGGACGTGGCAGCAACCGCCGCCGCCTCCCCCGGTCCCCACCCGGCCCCGGCCCGCGCGGCCCCGAGCGCCGGCAGCCCCCCAGCCCCCCGCTCCTCACACCCTGCCCGACCCCCGGCTCCGACCGCGCGCGGCGACTCGAGGGGACCGCGTACGCTTCAGGGGGCTCTCCGGGAGCGGATCTCGGGAAGCGGATCTCCCGCCGGGCCCCGGCCGCGCGCCCGCCTCCAACCCGCCCACCCGAGGGCAGCGGAGCCGCGCGGGCCCCCGTCGCTCACCTGGTTCGGCGGGAGAAGGGCCGCCCGGGCGAGCGGCTGCCGGCGGAGGGAAGAGCCGCGTTCGCCCCGGCCGGAGGTCGCCCACGGCGCACGGAGGCTGTGGCGGCGCCTTCCGCTCGGCGGCAGCCAGGTGCGCGCCGCCCTGCGCCTGCGCGCCGCCCCGCCCTCAGCCTCACCTGGCGGCCAGGTGCGCGAGGCGGCGGCGGGAAGCGCGCGGATCCTCCCTTCAGCCGCCTCCGCGCGCCGCTGCCGGAGGAGCGTTATACCCGCGCATTGCGGGCTACCCGCCGCGCGCGGTAACGGGCGGACCGCGGTGGAAGCGCGGCAGAGCGGCGCCGCGAGCTTTCGCCAATCCTTTCGCCAATCCCCGCCGTGCTGCACCGCGCGCGGCCGAGCGCTGCCCGCGCACGTTGCCGGGAGACGGCACAAAACGCCGGAGCCGAGATCAGAGCTCGAGAGAAGGGACGGCCCGCTGCGCGCACGGACAGAGGGAACGGCGCTGCTCGCTGAAAGCACGCGGATTTTGAGGAAAAGGGAGGGCTGCACGAGTTAAATTTGTTGCCAAGTTCCCCAGGTGCAGAACGGGGCCCGCAGCGTTTCGGCTCAGCCCGCGGCGGGCACAGCTGTGGCACCGGCTCCAGCGACCACACGCCGAGAGCAGCTGGGCACGAGGGAACCGTTCTGGCCGGCAGCGCCTTCTCCCTCCCACTTTGGCCAGAGCTGCCCCAGGTTACGTGTTAGAAATGGTGGAGCACGTTCAGTCCTTCCTTCCACCTCTGAAAGCTGAGGCTGGAGCTGCAGCAGCCACCTGCAACTCAGTGCGGCCCCAGGGCCAAGCTATTCCAAAGTTCAAGTGCTAGTAAAGGTTTTTACATCTGTTACTTTCCCCAGTAAAGGCTGCAAGAAGAGGCTGCTTACTACTTTCAAGAACAGTACTTCAAACCAAACCCACATCCAGATCGGTCACTCTGCTAGAAGAGGAGCAAATACTATCTCACATAGGCACCAAAACTGGAGTTTTGGCAGAGCAAAAAAACCCCACACTTATTAAAATAACAGTCCAAAAAAGTCAATTTCTTTACAAATTAACCAAAAGGTAAAAAAACCACAGCAAAATCAGACCCACAGCTGTAAAGAGCCTGAGCTGACACAGCAGTGATCTGACTGTAAGAAGTGGCACAGTCACAAGCAGACAAGTATTTCTTGATGGATTTTTTTCCTGCTTATTGCATAGGGAACACACCAACTGGTGACCTGTTCACCACACGCTTGCTAAGAACCAGCAGCCTATCCAAAGTGTTCCAAGACGATGCTTACAGAACAATTTCAACTTTCAACAAGTTCTTCAATAAATATAAGCGCTGTTTAAACTGCAATGTTTGCAGAGCTGCTCACTCCTCCTCTAATGACTGTTAAGATAAAGGCTGAGGTTGTTAAACTGGAGTTTCCTGATTTATGAGCCTTTCTAAAAATTGCTGCAGATGCATTTAAGAATTGATTCAAGATAGTCAAACCTAGCTCAGAAAGGGAAGTGTAAATTATTTCTATTTTTCTATAAGAATCTAATTTATTTCATCTAATTATATTATTTCACTCAATTATATTTACTAGACCATCTTTCTAATATTGGTAAAAATCTGAAAAAAAAAAAAAAGTAGTAAAGAGTATCATCTCCCTCCCAAAAAAGTTTACCTATCCCTCTCCAGGGATTCTGTACCTGCAGAATCAGGACAGTAGAGGAAGCGACACCTATGGCTCACGTTGCTATAGCTACAGGATGCCCAGATTCCCAGCTTCAGTGAATGAATCAATAGAAACCACAGCTTTGCTCTCCTCTTTTATTCAACAAAGGCAAAGTGGAAGATGGGTTGCCAAGCAACATCATGCTAAAGACTGCAGTTCTTTGAAACGAACATTACTGACTGCCCTCCATCCTCCCTCTCATCCTCCAGGAGTCTCTTCCATTCAAAGCCATTTATTAAGGGACTGAAAAAAAAAAACTACCAGGACATGAATTTTGAAATAAGAACTGTAGAAGCAGAAGGAAAGCTGGAATTAATGCTTAAAGGAAAAGAGTATTGAAACAATACCATTCCTTCTGCACTGAAAGAAGAAAAAGAGTAAGGACAGAAAAACTTGAACTGACTTATACAAACCAAAAGGGGGTGGAAAGACCATTTCCTTCTATTTTATAGAAAGGAATATTTTATTAAAGCAAAATTTCCTCTAAAGAATTGCTTATAGCTACTGTTTCTTTAATTGAAATCTAATGACATGCCTCAACTGCACACTTATTTTAAAGACTTAACTCATAAAAAAAGCACATTAGTGGCTAGGAAGCCTAAGAGGATTCCAGAAATCTTTTCTTTCATGCTAAAATCAACAAAAATCTCTACTATATATTAGCAAAGAAAAGCTTCAAGTCTAAGACCAATTTCTATCAACTAATTTCTGTATCATCATCTTATGAAATGGTGATATGCATCTTATGCTCATAATAAAATAAAGTAGGTGTAGATATGGATTAGTTTTACTTATTTTGAATATGACTTGCATGTACCAGCATAAAATCAATCTCATACAGAAAAGGCTGTGGATAAAGAAATGCTCTCTTATTAGAAACTGCCTTGAAAAGCCCTATGTACTTGATCTTTTACCAGTGGAAAAAAATAATCCAGCGCTTAAGGATTCATAATCTGATTCCCAAAGACCAGCTGCCTTGCAACTCCTCCCAGCCTCAGCAGGAGGATTCTTCAAATCCTTCCAAGTCCCTCATCCTATTCCCATACTATCAGTTTCCCCCAGTCACTTAAGTCTTTTTCTTCCTCTATTGTGCTCAATACAAAAAGGATGATAGAATCATAGAATCACAAAGGTTGGAAACTACCTGTAAGATCATCCTGTTCAACCATCTTCTTATTACCACTGCTACCACAAACTAACCCATATCTCGTAGCTCCTCATCCAGACACCTCTTGAAACACTGCCAGGGACGGCGACTCCACCACCTCCCTTGGCAGGCCATTCCAGTGCCTAACCACTCTCCAAGAGAAAGTTTTTCCTCATGTCCAACCTAAACCTCCTCTGATACAACTTGCAGCCATTTCCCCGAGTCCTGTTTGTTGCCTGGGAGAAGAGGCCAAACCCCTCTTCGCCACAACCTCCCTTCAGGAAATTGTAGAGTGCAATGAGGTCTTCCCTGAGCCTCCTCTTCTCCAGACTGAACAATCCCAGCTCCCTCAGCCTCTCCTCATAAGACTTGTGCTCCACCCCTCAGTTTCACTGCCCTTCTCTGGACATGCTCCAGGGCCTCAATGTCTTTCCTGTAGTGAGGGGCCCAAAACTGAACACACTACTCGAGGTGTGGCCTCACCAGTGCTGAGTACAGGGGGATGATCACCTCCCTGCTCCTGCTGGCAACACTATTCCTAATGCAAGCCAGAATGCCGCTGGCCCTCTTGGCCACCTGGGCACACTGTTGGCTCATGTTCAGCCGTACATCAACCAACACCACAGGTCCCTTTCCTCTTCACAGTCATCCAGCCACACATTGCATGGGGTTGTTGTGGCCAAAATGCAGGACCCGAAAGGATATGTGTACTGCATAAGTTTCAAGGTTATCTGTGGAGGGAGAAGCCACCTACTCAAGTCTTTTGTCAACTCTATCTTTCATACCAAACTTGTAGAAGTACTATACACCTGTTACCTGTTAGTTTCCATTAATTTTTATTTGGCTGACCAAAAGCTCAGAACTTCCTTGAATGCAGGATCTAGAAATCTCCAGTAGGTAGCATCATTGCATTCAGGATACCGATCTGTTTAAGGAAACAAGGCAAGGTAAGTTACCCAAGACATTGCACCCAGTTACAGATAGGAAGATTATACACAATTTCAAACAGCATCTCATGTACCCTTAACACTGAGTTGTCAATGTTAAGTTGTTCTTTCACTCACAGCATTGTATCAATCCCTTACAGATCCGCAACCATGTTACGTGCAGGATACAAGACTAAACACTCTAAATTAAACACGACAAATACTTATCTGCATGAAAACCTCTAATACAGCACGAGTAGAAAAAAATACCATGTAAAAATCTGCATAACTGTTAAATATTTAATGAATATTTATATAATATCTTAATTTTACACATTAGTGTATATTAGAAAGTTTCATTGAGAATAATGCATGTGACTTCTTTAATCTTGAAAAAGTAGTGTATTTGCAACATATGTAAAAATAAAAACATAAAATCATGAATGGATGGATTTCTTAAATCAAGAGCCAGCATCTTAACAATAAACAAAAATAATGCCTGCGCTAGTTTGGACAGGCTGTTGAGCACTACTTCAAATGAACAAAAAAAATACTGCATTATTTTATAAGAGTGCACTACCTCCTACATAGCATTTATCTGGAAAGAGACTGCTGTATGCATTTGTATTTAGGATTATTTTATTACTTTTCTTAAAAATACACAGTTGAATACAATACCTGCTATATACATCGTGGACTACACATATAACTTTGAAAAGTAGATTGAAAATGTACCTCCAGTAAGTCAGTCACTAGAATCCAAGTTACTTGTTTATCTGAAATGCACTTGGGCAGTATTCTATAGAGATGCTCGTGGTCTTCATCTTTGTTATTTTTTATTTCTGGATATTTTATGTACCACACGTGCAAGCAGTATTTTCTGCAGAATAGCTACAATTCTTTCCAGGGCTGCAGACTTCTCTTGAAAATAATCCAGACTTCTAAATCAATGCAAATTAATTATATTCACCATACATTCATGTTGACATTGTCACTTCAATAGTTTGTGAAGGCACCTTATACTAATAAGTCAATCAGTTTAAAAAAAAAAAAAAGTTATGTTCTTAATGATGCACGGGCCTTGTCAAGTATTTCCTTCCTGATCTTTGGATAGTTTGGATGTGCTTCAAGGACCTGTCAAAAGACAAAAAAAAAACAACCCTCCACATGAGATAGAGTTCTGAATCTAAAAGGAAAGAATACTCAGGTGGTTATTGCCTCATTGATGAGCTTAGACATTCTGGAATTTTGAATACTGTGATAAGTTCCTTGTAAGAATGCAGAAATTCTGTAATTAAAGACTACTGAGTTGGTTAAGATCACTTTAGATGTTGCTTCCCCTTCTCGTAACCGCCTCATAATTTTACTGGCAAAAGTGCAAGGGTCAAGGGCTAAAGCCTCTAGGTGGTTTGAGATGCATGCATTCGGAACAGCAGCCTCCAAAGACATTCCCAAGGTTTCAAGTATACTTTCTCTGCAACAATAAACAGCTCTGATGTCTTCAGTACTTCAGGTCTTTCTTACTATCCCCTATCATCTTGCCCTGCAATTCCCTCCGCTTCCAATTCAATTTAACCTTTCCAATGCTCTTAAATCTCCCCTCAAAATCAGCAAATTTAATTATTAATATTAAATAATTATTATATCATTATGTCGACTCTGGCTCTAGAATTGTAGCTCTATAATTCGACATCTGTTCTAGATATATTTGTATCACACAGGCAGAAGTATTTTCTAACAGTTCTTCCAATACAAGCATTTTATTATTGTCTTCAGCTACAGCTCTGTATGGATTTACCAAGCAGCAACCACAGAAAAAGAAGGCACTGCCACTCGAAAATGCTTTCAGATATGCCAGCCAACCACTTCATCTCTTATTTACCAGATGGCCAGAAAGCTCAGGATAAAGCAAATTAAGTATCCTGTACACAGTCAAGCTTATTAATATCAGAAAGAAAACTGATATAACAAAAGAAGGATCATTACATAAAACAAAAGTTGTTACAGTAGAGAGAGCATTAAGTACAAATCATACCTTATGACAAATAGTAATTGCATCAACGTATCTCTTTCCTTTCAGGTAATTGAAAGCCAACTTGTATCCTGTAAATAAAAAGAGGGGGAAAAGAAGATGACAGTTTCAATATCTGTATTAAATAAGTAAAATATCACATTTAAGTTCATTTTGGTCACCATATGTTTTTATGCCTAATACATTTGTTTTCTGGTTCTCCCTTATCTAAGCCTGTAAAAATTACTATTTAAAGTCACTTTAAGTAGTATGTGAATGTCCTTTACACACTGATAGATAGCTGCACTGGAATCAAAGAGACATTCTAGAGAGCACGTTTTTCTCCAGGGAACATATAATGGCTGTCCTCTTTCAATGAACATGGCACCCAATGGAGCTTCTCATCATCAGAGTTTCTGATCTACAATACATCGTTCTTTTATAAAGAAAACAAATGATTATATTATTAAAAGACAAAAAAAAAAAAGTCACAAATGAAGAAACAAACCAAGGAATTAAAACGCTTTTCTGTTCCACAGTGACCTGACCACTTCTGTCATGTGGAATAGTTAGGCCCTGCAGAACACATCAAGACTGAAGTTTTCAAAGGTGAAAAGTATAGCTCAAATATATCAGCCTGGACAGAGAAGTCCCAGCCCTGGATATATTGGGGTGTCCCGCACATGGCAGGGGATGATCTTTAAGGTCCTTCCCAAACCAAACCACTTTATGATTCTATGATCAATAACACATTAATCCACAGATCACACAGAATAAAATCACGAACCAAATCACTGCAGCCTTCAAGTGTTACAGTTAGAGAAACAAAACATGGCAGTTCATAACCATTACTACAGAATTGTCTAAAAAATAAATTAAAAAAAAAAAACAAAACATAAAAACCCACCAAACCCACAAAAATCAATACTGGTTTTCCAGATGACACCACAGGCCATCCCTCCCTAACGCCAAGGAAAAAAGGGACTACAGATTACAAGCAGCGTGCATTTCTGGGGGGCCAATAGATAGTCCAAAACTGGAAATAAAATTTATGTAAATCACCAGCCTTAGGACCTAGAGACAAGACTAAGTGTTGAGTAAGAAAGGACATTTTAGCCTAAATTTTATAAAGGATTTTTACTTCAAATAGTCTACATATGTAGCAGTCCAGCTTCCAGTGAACTGGAAATTGAATACTATCAAGTTTTCAGTTAGCCATTAATTTTAAAGCAAACATTTACAGTCTTTTAAACAATTGAAAGAAAAATCTTCGAATTTGTCTGATTATCAAAACATAATAATGAAGTATTCAGTGATCTGCCATCACCAGATTCAGAAGAGGTATAAACGATTTTCTACTACAGCCAGTAGATGCTGCATTACTATACAAATATTATTGACAATGAACACCATACTTCAAGACAGCATATAAGAGCAAACTAAAAGAGCTGTAGATCTAACCTTGGATTACAAAGGGTAAGCTGAAATTTCTTAGTTAACATAGAATGACTATCTTCTGCCATGGGAGCTTTCCAAATGACTTAAGTATATCTTTAGACAGCTGTGGTTCTAATGTGAAGAAAAACCAGCAATATTCTCACTATGGAAAGAGAAATATAGTCTTTCCAGTAAAGGGTAGAATTATTCATTCCTACTGTAGTGCATCATATATATATACATTATATAAACATGCCTATTGTTGGATTTGATTGGTTTCCATATCTCCACGCCATCTCGTAATTTATTGCTGCATCCTTGTAGGCTTGCTCCTTTTCCATTATGTATCCCATGTATTCATAAGCCTTGCAACAGGACTGCAAAATATAATTCATACAAGACTTTATTTAGGTATAAACATTTAATTGCTAAGATACTTCAAATATCTACGACTAGAAAGCTTAAAAAGTAGTACAAGTATCACTTATGACAAGATAGTCTTAATTTAAAATCATTTACAAAGAGTTTTGTGATGACCTCTTAAGTCACCCAGAGTCAAGTAACAAGTTCATCACAGAGGACACTACAATTACTCCTAAAATATTCAGTGCCTCCAAGAGCCCGGCAGATACTTCCAAATTAATAATAATAAATCAATCTCAATAATTGAGTTTTCTCAATCTAATGAAATATACCAACTTGCAGGATAGTATGGAAAGATCTAAAACAGTC